TTCGTCGATCAGGTATGGAAGGAAACTCAGTGTGACTGACAATGTGCTCTATCTCGTGTTATCCCCTGAAAAGGAGTTTTAAAATAAAAAAAGTCAAGAAACTGAGTACTATTTCTAAGGTTAGATCTTAAAAAAAAATCGTGAAGTGGTCTTTTTTAAAGTGTGAAATGCGAAGTGTGAAGCTTCGTCAGGACCATGTTAACTGGCCCTTCCAGGTAGGCCCCTTTTCTGTTCATGTACCTCAGCTCACTATTAAGCCTTTGTAATTGTCAATTTGTGTATTAAAATTGTATTAAGACGACAGAGAACAGGAGAATACTGAAAGAATTGTAAATAGTTAGTTTTAGTAAATGCCATTTGCATGGTCAGTTGCAATGCGTAGCATTTGTTAAATAATAATGAAAAATATTCCAGCTGGTTTAATGTGGTGTGCAACTTTCTTGCCTGATAGCCTAAACTCATCATTTTATTTAAATTGGGTTGCAAACATTTAAGTGATCTTTAATAAGAAAAGTAGGGATTTTACATCATGTCTTTTTCGAAAATTCAACATCAATATTCTGCATTAATTCACTAAGCTACAATCCAGGACGAAATTTTTAAAAAAAGATGCAACTTTTGCAATTTTCTTCTTTATGTTGCCCTAGTGAATCGAGCCCATCCTTTTCTCCTGAATCAATGTTTTTCCTGCAAAAGCATGCGTTCGAATCGGAGAAGAGGGAAGTTATTTTTTCTAAGGAAACATCAAATTTTCTTGAAAAGTTCTTTTTCTCCGGGATTGTAGCATTGCAACTGCTTCTGCCAGTCGCTCGTAACGACCTGAAAGGAAGGATCTCCTCTGAAGGGTCCATCTTTTCAGCTAAAATGACTCTAGTGTTCATGAAGATTGTCGCATCTTTTATTCTGTTACATTGAGTGTTATGCGCCCATATTACATAAAGTGTTAGACAATGTTCTCTTGCAAATGGCAATTCAGACAAGCAATTCAGCACTGTCATTGAGAAAATATTAGGAGAAGGGGTTGGGGGGGGGGGGGGTTGGTTGGTTCAACTTTCCTTCGAATCAAGAAAGGCAGTTATCACATTTCCAGAGTAATTTCATTTGAAGTCAAAACGCATAATTTGTGTGAGTATATCACATAAAGTTCGAGTCCTATACGAAGATGGATGTGAAAGACGGCATTGCATCAAACATTTTCAATAGAATACACATGTTATTTCTTGTTTGACATTTTACATTGACATATAACACATTATACTTTGCTTTAATCTTATACCTTGCCTTCTTTGCGCTGTTGGCCTTGTTTTCTAGCCTCAATTAAAAGCAAAATTAAGAATTAATTTTTTTGAACGGTTACGATTTTCCCCCTATTTAGTTAGCACAATCTTCTTATATTCCACTTGTTCTTGCTATCATCATTGGGGTTACTTTTTCTGTGCTGTTTAAATTCTGTTTGCGCTTTGGTTGCCATAGTGATTAAGTAATAGCTATACTTCTAACAGATATCGCTCTTTAAAACAACATTTTAACTCATTTTACTTTTATTTCAATATTTTGGTCAGCGCATTCCTCTCAGTGTTTCATAGTATGCAGAGATACAGAATAATAATTCGATTTCACTGGTTGTTTTCTTACATTAAACATTAATTATAGTAAAGGTTGGACTGTAAATAGTGATTGAAATTATATATAGGTCATTCAAATTCATAACTTCATTTATTATGCTGTATGTGTTTGTGATAAGTAAACATATCTTTTACGATTTTCCATGTCGAGAAACAAATTGAATTAATGGGAGCAGGCCGACAGTGCCATGTACCTTTTAGCAACAAGTTCAAGGGTCCAGAGAAATTTTTAACTGTAGGCTCAGTGACCATAGCAATAAAAATAAACCTCGATTCAAATGTATTCACTCGAGCTTTTGACAAACCTATATTGACAAATATCATCTTATAAAACAATCAATAATTATGACTAAGTGGATATGTACTATTTGGTTTTAGTCATTAATATTCGTCTTAATATGGTCGTTCCGTTCAGGACTTGTTTTTGAGATAAATCTTGAAAAAGAAAGGTCTTTAATCCCCCTTCACAGCTGATCTCAACTTTCAAAAGCACAAGGTGTCCAATCCTAAACGCTCTGCGAACATACCTATCTTCGTGTTAATCAAAGTCATATTGGAAGCAAGGGCAGATCCAGAGCAAATTTGAACTGAAGGAGGGGCAGTTGGTAGTGGGGGCGCTGAAAATTTTCAGAAATTGATGACGAGTGTACGCTGTATACAACAATTTCAGTCCCTAACTACTGACAGAAAGCTCTCCATTCACTTTGTAAGGGAATTTTCACAATAATTGTTTCATACTTTGAGGTAATCCTTGAAGTAAATTAACCCATAAGTCTCAGGAACATTTTCACCCGATTCTCATTCTTGAAAAAGGGCCCACAATTTTCAAAATAGGGGCGCCAGACTTGCTTCAACTCGGTGAGGGAGGGGCAACTGCCCCTAGTTGCCCGCCTTAAATCCGCCACTGATTGGAAGTACAATAACAAGGTCTTCACTAATTTCGACGAAGGAGAACCAACCACAAGCTCCTTGTTGAGACCTGAAAAGCCCCTCGGCGGAACAATATAAACCGTACGGACGCAAACCGAAATTTTCACCTTCTTCACCTTTAACAGCTGGAGTTTTCTGTCAAGATAGCAAAACAAAATCGTATTTGTCACATTTTTCTTTTTAGTATCTGAGTTTCGTATTATCGTCAAAGTGATTGGCATCTACCATATCATAAGGCGATAATGGTTTCTTAATCCATTCCTCTGCGAGCATGCTAAGCTATTAGATCCACAAATAACTTTGCTTTCCCTGAGGCTAAAGCCAGATTTCGCCAAATATCCAAAGTATTGGCGTGGGTTGCCTCAGTTGCCTATGTGATATGTTACCACCGTGTTGAGCATATGCTAAGTGGTCTGTGATTGTTAAAACAAGAGGCTTTTTCTAAATTACACCTCGCGTTATAATGTCGTCCATATATCATTTTATCATTAGAAGTGTTTCGTGTCAAGGGCGTGGGTGTGCAAAGCTTTTTCTAAAAAAGTAGTTTCGTTACGTCAAGAATTTTCTGTTAAACAATGTACACAAGTTACAAAGCAGAAACCATTAAAATAATTAAAGGGTGAGCCAATCTTTACAGCTAAGTAAGGCTTAAAGATAGAGAAATTGTTTTAATATTGGAGGATGTCTCCATATCACTCCTTATAGCTTTTTATAGACAATATAAACATCAAATAGCTTTTTTCCTAAGTGTATCAGTAATTGTTTTCTATTTCAATTTTTTATATATAATTGTGTTTACATTTGTACTTGTACATGCATTGCATGTTAAGATATGATAAATTAAAGCTATGCTTATCGAGCAGTGGACTTCCTCTCGATGTGACCATACCTCGTGATTCTTAGCGACTTTTCTTGTTCAAGAAAGTTTAGTTATGCCAGGGACTCAAACACCAGACCCTTGGACCTGTAGTCCATGACCCAGAGCACAGAGCCATCCTCACGAAGTCAACAAACATTCAATCGTAGACTCTTTTATTAGTAGAAGGTATTTGAAATACACATAACATATCTCAATGAGCAACGAATAGCAAATCCCCATCCATTGCAAAGGTTATGGGACATTTTTTCTATATGCGACATTTTCCAGCACAATCTTAGAGAAGAAATACCCTCACAAAGGTTGTCAGCCATGGATTCTGCGATTTCCTTATTATACTTGTCACTTTTTTCTTTATAAAATTAGCCTGTTGACATAGCAACAATGTCAGCAAATCACTACAATTGATATCCATGACACTAAGTATAACCAAATCATTTAAGAAAAAGTCCAGACATGAATTAAATCAACAACAAAAACAGTAATTGTTTCAGAATTCCCACTTTAAAGATGTTTTTATTCATTGAAATAAACAGTCAATTATTTTGGAAATTAATTGAAAATTTTAGGTTTTCCTATTTGTCTAAATTTTTCAATGTTATCGAAGGGTCGTTTATGTAATTTGCCGTTTAAATTAAACTTCTAGCAAATCAATTTTTCATGAAATTCATTGGGTATTCAAGACTTTTCAGAAACAAATTAAATACTCCTCTGAGCATCGTGAATTTACAAAGAACAACCATGGTGAATTTGCAAAAACCAGAATGCCCAAACACAATCCGATTTTGGTTTACATTTACACAAGAATCCAGGGAGATAAAAAATGTATAATAAAGACAATTTCAGAATCATTGGGCAAGCAAAGTCGTATTTTTTATAGGTGTTTTGAATCTACATCAAAACAAAAGGTTGCACTTTTGTAGCCCAAAGTGTGTGTTTTCTCTTTTTGACTCTTTATACGAGGCCCTACCAAGGGTTAACGGTCGCTTATTGGTCAAAGCAATGAGCCAGTTATATGTGCCATTCTTCCTCACACATTTATCCACATCCCGTTCAAACAACGTTTATACTTTGAAAAGCATAGGACAAAAAGTGGCTATAACAAAAGTACTTGGAACAAAAGTTCGTTATACGTTGGAACAAAACTCTTTCCTGGAAAACAGCTCACTTTCTCAGATCAGTTGCGCTTGGTACGAATTATCAATGGAATGGTTGGCACACTCATGAGGTTTTTTATTTTTCTGCTTTCCTCCTGACAGGCGTTAATGGGAGCACCCCCTCCCTGGGTTTACCCAATTACTTATCATTTTTGTTGGCTCTTGTTCTGTCTGTTGCTAAAATCTAATGCTGTATTAGCAACGGTGTTTATTTTTGCGTATCTTTACAGACACTATAATGTATTTTTATTACGGATATTTGTACCTAAGGGCTTTCAAAAACATTATTTTAACACAGCCATTTTATCTTGCATTGTCAGCATATGATAAAAACACTGCTTTACCCCACTGATTTGCCCGATCGAAACCTAAAACGAGAATTTCGTTATATAATTGAAAAAGAGGCTACTTAAACATTGCACCGTGTGAATCAGATTGGTAAGTCTTGCATGCCTGTGCGACTGAACAAGACACCTTGGGAAATTGATTTTCGAATTGTTTTGAAAGTAATTGAACACAAGGGTCTTGATAAAAGGAACAACATATGTAATTGGAGTGAACATTTGTGCACAGTTATGTCATTCCTTGTGAATATAGACAGTTTCCCGCCCTATAAGAGGAAAAAGTTCGAGGACGATAAACGACATCCTCAGCCTAGGAATAAATATGAAGATGTAATTGTAATTGGATACCACAGTAAGCTGTTTCGCGACGATGCTATGGCACAATACATTGAAGATGGAAAGCATTTGATCCCATGGATGGGCGATGAGTCTCTACTTATTGACAGGTGGGTATTGTGTGACCATCCCAATTTGGTTTCTAGGTCATTCTATCTGTCATCTTGCATTAGCCTGTTAAAAAAGAAATTCTAGTCAGGGCTGTTTTACCGCAAAGACTTGCCCAAGTAAAGCCAGAATACTACAGGAATGAGCAGAAATATTGTGAACGCTGAATGTATCCTTTTGCAAATGATTTTGCAGTAAAAGCCTGATCAAAGGTTGTTCTTTTGCAATACTGTACTGTATACTGTTGTTTGATTTGTCAGATCGAATCATATCATTGTAGGCTATTTGATTCAAGATGGATTCCAGCTTGTGTAGATAGGTTGAATTCTAGTATGAACATTTACACTTTCATTCGAGAAGTGTGTTTAGGGTTAGAACTCAAAAAAGTGGCTTTTTACTGTAACAATTCCAAATAGGACCACGAAAAAAGACCTAAGATTCCTATAAACATGGTATTTTTGTTAGCAAAAATATAACCTGATTTTTCAATAAGCAGGAAATTTTTAAATTTGTTTAACTTTAAAACAAGTTAAACATGTCTACAAGTGAACAATGTCAACCATGCATTTTGCTCTTAAAAGACTGAGTGACCTTGAAGTATATAAAGAAACTGGATTACTGCTTTGATAACTTCTACAGCTGAACTGCTATCATTCCACTGCTCAAGGAAACTATGAAAATTTTTTCACCTGCCAAAAAGCAAAACGGGGATATCAAGAGTGGTTACAGTTTCCTATTACCGTATTTTATATGGGTATGGTTTGAAACTTAATAATTGTTACACAAGAAACAAACCTATCTACTAAATGAAAAATCAATAGGCAGTAGTTGACAATAAGTACAGAAAGTTTTTGTTTTTGATGAATAAACAATTTGTTTGATAGGAATAAGTATTTAACAATTATTAACTACACCCTGTTGTTTGTTAGTTAAAAGGATTGTTTTTTAAAATTGTTATTAATGATTGGAGAAATGTTTTGTATTACATCAATACTTTTCTAGATAAGGAATGACTCAAGAACATTGAGTCTAGATTATTAGAATTCCACAGAGAGTGTCTTGAAAGATGAACAGTTGAACAAACATAACAAAACAACTTATACGATCAGGATATAATACTAGGCCACATTACGTATTCAGCTTAAGAATAGTAAAGACGTGTTCACAGCATGACTAAGCAAGGCTTAACTTAAAGTGTCAATCAATGATACTATGTGTCAAAACATGATAATAGTAAATGTCTTGTCAGTTTCGTATTACATCAATACTTTTCTAGATAAGGAATGACTCAAAGACATCAAGTCTAGAGACAACCTTCTGCGTCAAATAACCTTATGGATCTTTGGCTGTCATTTAAAACAGAAATATTTGTTGTTAGAAACGGCTTGTCATATTAATCAAAACTTTGAATTTTTTCAATTCTTATTAGTACCTTAAAGTGGTCCAGAAATCAGTCAAATCTGAGATAGTGGGTTACATGGCCATGATGAATTGACATGGAATGACTCTTAGATTGTTTTTGATAATTGTTATTAATGATTGGAGAAAGGTTTTGTACACTCTCCTCACGATAGTACCCGGACAGTTTGAAGATCGATTGAGCTTTCAGACAAAAACAAATTTAGGCTGGCAAAAACGACTTTTTAACTTTGTGATAATAATTTTTTGAGAGACCCTTCCAAAATAAACCAGAACATTAAAATGATGCAAAACTTCTGCGCTTTTTATCCGTTATATTTTCTTGTTAAAATGAGAAACCTTTGCGCTACAAGCCTTATGCAAATCAACTGATATCAAATAAGCGGAGAACACCAAAGTCAGGTGACTTGGACTCAGTTAAAATCGGCCAATAAAACATGGTAATTTTCTACAAATTGGTTATTTAGACAAAAATATTTTCGAATGAAGAGAGAAATACAATGTGTTTACTCTCAGTTGGGAAGAATGTTTGCATGGAGCTGCCACCGATCGATTATAAAATATGGATGAAATTTGGTAACATTTTCTTGGAACAGATCAAAAATTTTCTTGGAAAGCAGACATATCATTCAGTGCAGTGCCATAAAGCCATATTATTTCTTTCTTGCTGAAATCGGTCGGTTTGAGGTTATATTCAAAATTCTTTATCATTTTCCTTGCAATGTTTATTGACAGCTTTTAAAATTTTAATTGTTCATGTACATTTAATGCAATTTTGCGTAATGATGCAAACCATTTTTGATGCAAATTTGATTAGGGCGGAACGCTCAGATGTTGGTGTTGCGAGAGCTCTTGCTCTTTTTGACCGTAAAAATTTTTTAGATTCTTATTTTTCAATTTTTTTTGCATAGCTTGAAAATTGGAGTCTTTGTGCATCCAATGATATTAGCAATTTAATGATAGCTTTTTCCCATCATTGTGATAAAACATTACCTCTAGACACTGCTCAGAAGTCAATTCATGTGTTTCGGTTACTACCATCTTGAGGAAAAACCCTCACAGAGTTTGCTTATATATCGATAAAAGTATATTTTTCGACGAATACATAGATTAAAGGCCACAAAACTTCAAGAAAAAATTCGAGGAAATTGATCAAAACTTTTTCATGAAAACTGACACTGAAATTTGTAAACAAGCTTCTCTAAGAACAGATACGCAACTGAATTCGAAACTGTCTGGATACTTTCGTGAGGGGAGTGTATTACATCAGTACTTTTCTAGATAAGGAATGACTCAAAGACATCAAGTCTAGAGACAACCTTCTGAGTCAAATAACCTTATGGATCTTTGGCTGTCATTTAAAACAGAAATATATGTTGTTTTGGGGCTGCATTGGGCCTTATAGATTGGCAGATTTGTGCTGTGCAACCAAAAAATTATTACCATATAGTGTATCACTGCTTGCAAAGTAAGCTTTCATAATATTTTGGTGATGTCACCTTGGAAAGTTCAGCTTGTTCCTTGGAAGTCAAAAGTCTTCATTTAAAACAAACTTTTAGTTATTTATAAAAGAAGCAACACGATAAGTCCTCCAATATCAAATGATAAATTGAACCAACATCTTGTTGAAGTCTAGCTTTTTACGATTTAGAAAGTAATCTAGATTTTTGATTAAGATTTTGGTTGATCTTTAATCCAAGTAAAGTGAAACTTTTCATAAATTAATTCATATTTTGCTCTTAAAGCAATTGATAAACATTTATACATTACTTATTTACCATTCTTTAATTTATTATTCTTAGTGATAGCTTTTAATAATGATTTAGTGATTGCATTTTCATCACCAATCTAAGTTATTTTAAGAATATTGCTTCTAACATTGTACATTGATAAAAATTAGAAATTAATGGTTTATCAAATATCCTTTGTTCCCTTTAATGTAAAAAGTTGTCTATGCAATTTGTAAGAAGATTCTTTCCAGAATATTTTTGGCTGCATAGTTTGGGTGTGGGTTTGCATACAGCATTATCCATAGTTTCATTTATTGAACATGTCATTGGCTAAAAGCAGACTAGGATGTTAATATTATTAAAAGAAGTCCTTAGAGAATGAATAATTGCAAGTTGGTTTTCAGGAATCTCGTCTGTTTGAATTTGGCTACCAATCAATTGTTTTAGTGTCTCAAAATAAGCATTATATATTTTTGATTGATTCCTCTTAACATTTTTTTGATTCAGTGGGTGGTTGTTGTATAATCATGTGTCTGGGAGGATGCCAACTTTGTAGCAGGAATTCCTTCAGCATCCTTTTGGATGTGTTTGTTCCGTATTTCTGTACCAAAATTAAAAAAAAACCTGCTTAGGGAACTGTAGGTTCAGCCTTGTGTTTTCTAGATCTAATTGAGATCTGGTGTCAAGTTTCCTAGCAAAGACCCTGCATTATTCTGTAGATCATTATGGCCCCAGTCAAATTTAATATTCTTTTTCTTTAATCTAGCACTCTCTGTTAGAATTGGTGCCAATCGAAGATTCTATCAGATAAATTTGAAATTTATGAATGTATCATGAAGAGGCATGAGCCAAAACAAAATATGATGAATTGTGACTAAGATGAACCATGCAAAGATCTGTGATTACTATGGATAAATTTTTTTTGGCTTTTACGTTTAGAACAAAGAAAATTTATTAGTGTGGTGTCTCAAAGCGTAAAAATATATGCCAAAGGTGAACGAGGGGGTTGAAATGTATATAGATCTGTGCAATAATGAAGGCCATTTTTAAAGATATCTTTGCAAGTGACAATATGAATGGGAATGTATCAAGAAACAAGAAAGACTATGAATTCAATCTTTCCTTAAACTGTTTTTTAAATAGGTTAGATGCTACCATAGATATTGGCTCTTCCACTTCCAAAATATTACCACAAATTATTATAAACTACAATTGGTCGCACTTCTGTTATGTGAGAGGTATTGTTTGCACAGTCTGGCATTTTTAATATTTGTCACACAGGTATGATTGCAGAGGCCATCTTTATTCTCGTGATGAGTTTGAATGGAAAAGCAGCCAGTTAACAATGCAGTTGTCCTCAGAGGAAGAGCAAATTGAAAAAGCTTGTGATGAAGAGCGGTACATGGGTATTCATAAAGATGTTGAGGAAGAAAATTTTTTGGAAGGTAAATTATTTTCTGTAACCAAAGCAGTTTAAAGTAGTATTATGTCAAATAATAAAAGTTGGAATTTCGCGCTGAAGATCAAACTACAGTGCTTTATACAAATGTTCTTACATAATGATAGTGTGAAAATGCATGTTGATATTGAAGACTTTAAGAATTGAAAAGAATAATTTTTTTGAAAACCTTTCATTTGCAAAGGCTTGCTCTGAAATATAATTTTTAGCTGCTAAACATGACAGAAGATGTCAATTTTATAACAGCCCGTTTGCTTTGGTAATATATTGCATGCCTTTATATAGAATGAAATTACTGTTTACCCGTCTGTCATAAATTGCTTGAAGCCACTTAATAGTAACTTAGAACCATCCTGTCTATACACCAAATAGTGCGCCTTTAAGTAGATGTATAGTGACAATGTGACATATGAAATTATTTCAAATATTTTTTGGAAACTCAAATTTAATTAATAGAATGCTGTAAAATTGAAGACAGTCTTAACTTAAGGTATTTGTGCTTGTATTCAGAATGTTTGTGTTATTATAACATTGTAACAGTCCAATGTATATATTTTCCTTGGTGGAAGTCCTTTGTGCTCTTTGCTTTTGATTTTATCAACAATAATGAATAACAGAGACATTAAGAACACATTGATTTTTTCCAGGAAACCATCAACTATGTTTTCCTGTAACTATCAATTTATTTTCTTTGCTATTTTTTCAACTTTGTAAAGTATCTAAAAAGCAATTTTGTTTATTTTCTGATTTTTTGTATATCTGTTAATGAAAGATTTCCTTGAAACTATCAAATGGCTATTATATTTTGTCTCTAGAGGAGGAAGAGAAGAGACTAAGCATTGCCACTGACCCAGCTTCTGCGGCCTATCGCAATGTTGGTTTTAGCTACCAGTCAACAAATCATGATGGCAGCAAAGAATATGACCCAAATGATTGTTTCAAAGATGACTCTGATGAAGGTGCCATTATAATGCTCATTGAGCTGAATGTTTATAATTTCCAATTCTCTGCTTAATGCTCGATCAACCACCCATATCATATCAACAAAATAGCCATCTACTAAGTTATTGTTATCTAAAAACAGAAAGTGGATGCAACAAAGTTTACCAAGAAGAACGATGTCAATGTAAAGAAATCTATCCTATTTTAACTGCACATAAATTTGCAATGCCGATGGAATCATTTATTGTTGTTGTTAAATTTGCTCGGCTTTCCAAAGTTTTTGTGTTTATAAACATTTGTAACGAACCCAGTTCAAGATACAATACAAAATTCATGCCAAGGAACAAATGGATATGAAGAATCAAAAGTGTTCATAAATATAATCTTCTGTAATGAAATTACCGTTTACCAGTCTGTCAAAGTGCTCGATACCGTATATGCAGAGATGTAGGTTTCCTAACTTGTCAAATATATGAAGAGGATTATACAATATTTGGTGTAAAGAACAGAACTGTTTTAAGTTGGTACTCCCAGTTTCACGCTTAATGCGGCTTTTTCAGACAGCTTTTTCGTTCCTGAAACGTGGAGTAGCAACTTCGAACCGTCCAGTTCTGTACACCAAATAGCGTATGATCTTCTGTATATATTAAACAAGTTAAGAAATCTATTTTTTCATATAGCCGATTTCCATATCAACCTATCAACCTGGTTTTGCAAGCTAGCACTGAAAATCATTAAAATGAGCGCATTTTAACGCTAAAAATATTCATCTTGTGATATTTATTTTTCAGAGAATGGCATTGCTGAAAATATAGCCAAAATTTCAAGGGTGAAAAATGAAGGAAAACTAATCACTCTGGGCGGAAAACTGGCTCAGCCAAGTGCCAAACCGGTTATAAAAGAAACAGAGGCTGTTGGTGTCTATATAAAACCAGTTAATCTGGAAATTCCAAGTGGAATCGATGTGGTAGGTTCTGCTTCATTCATTGAACCACTTTAATGAATTTATCTTGATAATCCTTGTGTTGTATTTGCGTGGAAACTTTCCGCACAAAGACACAGGTCTTGCATGGCGGTTATCTTCCCAAAGATACCATAGCAGAGAGATCTTCTGTTTTCCTTCACACCCTGAATTCATCTGGTTTAGGTACTTCACTTTCCTTTTTATATTATATATTTTTATTTCATTAAGAGGTAAATAGAGTAAGTATTCTTTCCAGTTATAAACCAGCGTCGTTCACGATTTAAACGAGCAATATATTATCAAATTTGAGCTAGAAATCTCAAGGTGCGGAGAAAATTGCGACCTGCCAACTTTTGTCAGCTGATCTACAAAAGTAGAAGAATTGCATAGAAGTATTTTTAGATGTACAGTTTAAGGAACTGTGGAAATTAACGATTCTGTTAGTTTTTGTAAAAATATTGTCAATCTTTTAATTCTGTACCGCTTTTCTTCATACCCAAATCTTTAGTAAAAACCAAGAATTTCTGAAAGGCGAATAAATCATAAGTTTTTCTTATGATGCTGAAAAATTGGAAAGAATCTTTACTTTTCTTCTTTTTGAATTACTCCGTGTCAAATGATTGACCAGCATGGTCAACTTTATTCAAAATGACCTAGCCAGACAGGAAAATTTGATGGTATTTTAGCTATTAAAAACTTTCTTATGTTCTGGTACATACTGCACTGGGGCTTGCTAAGGGAACCATGAAACCATTATTGGTAGAGCCTTTCCAACTACACGCTTTTCGTGAAAACAGAGTTTTATGACGCATACAACACGAGGTGTTAAAGTTGGAATTTCAACGTTAGATGGAAGCTTGCACGCCGGTAGAGTTATAGTGACCAGCCAGAAAGTCACTACAATGCACGAATCTTTTCTATGGAGTTTTATATTCAGCATTCTTGAATTGTGTCTACAATATGAGTAGCATGAGTATTTTCACGTTTTAAAACGTATTTTCACCATATTAATGAATTACAAGTTCTTCTTACACCTGACATTAGCAATCCAAATCTTGCTGTGTCAAGAAAGGCACGACATACTCTTTGAAGATGCCTCAATTTTTGTAAACAATTTTCCCGTCTCTTGAGAAGCAAACAATTCAAGAATGAGAATGTTGTTTGCTTTGGTTCTAAGTTTCTGGATACCGTATTTCCTCTAAAGAACGCCGCGGCGTTTATTACAAACTCCAAATTTTGGATGCGGTGTTCAATAGAGGGCGGCGTTTATCAGAGGGCGGCGTTCAATACAAAATGAAAAGTTTTTCAAATGGGAAATGACAAGAAAAGTGCAGTGAAAAACAAAAACACGTGATAACAAAAATGTGTACACTTTATGTCAAGGAATGTCAATATCCCCGTCTCCGTCAGAGTCCTCGTCTCTATGACATAAAAACTTTCATAGCTTTCGAATAGTGGTTGTGTTTTCTAATTAACGCCGCTTTTCAAGATGCGGCGTTCAATAGAGGGCGGCGTTTATCAGAGGGCGGCGTTTTTTCCAAATGGTTGGCTGAAGGTGCGGCATTCAATAGAGGGCGGCGTTCATCAGAGGAAATACGGTACACATTTGAATAGGATTTCTTGCGTTAAATTAAAAGTTTATTGTCTCATTGCATAAAAAGTTATAGAAAGTGTTCAAGAAAGTGCCAACATATGATTGGCAAACACGTTGGGCTTTAGTAGGTTAATAAGGATAGAAACCCTAAAATAAAGTCAGTTTGTGGATTATTAATGTCTAAATTGTTGATATCTAAATTTATTCTTTTAAGAGGAGTCCATTTGATGTTTGATTTTTCTCAAGATTTTCGTAGCAGGCTGGCAACAAAGGAACATTTTGAAGACGACAATGTAACAGAAACAGGATCAGCTGAAATCATGTGATTAATTTCGATAGATTATTTCATAGCAGTGTACTTTTATAGCTAAGTATGGTAAGTTTAAGAAGGTCGGTTATTTGTTAAAGGAGTGGTTATCTGAGAAAATCTAGAGTAAGTTGTCCAATACTGTGTGACAACTTTATTGATGGTTGGTTTTTGGATGTTTTATGTAAAAAATGTTCAAACCTTTTTGAGCCTATTGCTTACGATTTACTCCTAAAGTTTTTCATTTGAAAAAGGATTCTGTTAAAGGCTGGTTTTCATAAAACGTATTTCGACGTATTTCATCGCAATGCAGAGTCTACGATCAATTAAGATAATTTCCGTTATATGAAAACCGACCAAATTTTATGAAAACCAGCTATTGTAAATAATCCTAATAGAACGTAATTCAACGTAATTCAACGTATTTCATCGGAAAAAATCAAAACATTTTGTTTCTCCCGACAAAATACGTTGAATTACGATGAATTAAGATGAAATACGTTTTTCGGTTTTCATATACCGTGAAAATCGTGGACCCTGAATTGCAATGAAATGTGTCGAAATACGTTATATGAAAACCAGCCTTAACACTCTTTTTTTCAAAACCCTCAAACAACAATTGAAAGAATCATACGAAAGCCTCTATTTCTTGAGACCAAAGTGTTGTTGAAAAAGGGAGCAGTTTTATAACCTGTCATCCCACCAACTTCCTAATTTTCATCAAAAACCATTTTCCAAAGGTTTGCGGCCATTTAGAAGTGAAGCTTAAAATATGAAGATAGCGTTTTCTCATCGAGGCACTGAGTCAACAGTTAAGTTTTATGGAAAGTATTTTTTCTTGTCTGGTTTAATTTATGTTAAATATTCTTTTTAGCCGGATAGTCAGAAGTCTCATTCGATAATCGAAAAGACAGCATTGTTTATCAGCAAGCAAGGGACACAGATGGAAATCGTCTTGAAAGCAAAACAAGCAGGGAATCCCCAGTTTGATTTTCTCAACTACGGTAACTGGTTGAACCCATACTACAAGCTGATACTGCAAAAGATAAAAGATGGAGGCTACACGGTTGAACCAGCCACTACGCAGGAGTCATCGAATCAATCCGATAACGCACAACCCACAGGTATGTTTGGATTTTGCTGTTGTTGTAGTTGTAATTAATGAGATTGAACTGGGGATTGTGTTTGGCTGCAATTGGTACATCAATATCTTATTTGACCTTTTGTCCTTTCTTCTGTACTGCATCAAGGGATAAATAAACTTTCGACCCATCAAAAAATGTCTTTTTATCCTCTTATCAAAATCAGATTTTTAGTTTCCATGTCTAGCGGTATCATTAAGTTAACAAATAGCATCAATTGATTGGCATGTGCTAGTGCCAGTAGCTCTGTTATCAATGAAATATCACCCAATTGAGAATGTAATTACGTTTTTTATTTGTTGCGACAACGAAGGAACCTAGCATCTCTATTCACCTCTTTGCCGAGGGAATCTTGTTTTTTTTTAGTTATCAATTTCTAGCAAATTTTTGGTGTTTTTTTTTGTATCAAAGTGGAAGTTCCACTTTAATAAGTTATTTTATTCATTTAGCAAACGAAATCAGAGAATCAATCAGATTTTGATTAGTAGTAGACTCGAAATCGCTTGTAACACTTCATCAGAAGTCAGAAGTTGGTAACACTTTCCTTTATCTCCTGTTTATCACAATTCATTCCATCTTGATATGATGCTATGGCCTAGCTCATTTTTCAAAATGTCTTGATACTATTCTTTTGCATAAGCCCAACATGCAGTGCTTCACTTATATTTTCTAGAAGCAGTATCCAGTAAAAGTTTTATTCTCCCTCGGTAATATAACCTTGAGTTGTAAAAATCTTCCCCAGAAAGCAATAACAACATGGCCGGGTTTTGTGGCACTGTCGCTACTTTTGTTTTCAATGCCCTCCTCACGGGTATTGACAGTGTTGTCGCCATGTTTCATTTGTGATTTTTACATCAAGCCACACAGCTATTAGCCCCCCCCCCTCAAGTAAGCTCTCATCCTGGAAGTAGCAATGGTTAATATGCCCCTATCCTCAAATAAGTCTACACTAACATGATAATCGTTGCCTTTTGATAGGCCCTTAAGGGGAGTTAATCAAAATACAATAAAAAAGATACCTCCACCCACTTAGTCCATGACTCTTAACACAATCAGCGGCGAATGGAAAAAAACTAAAACAAACGAGACTTTGGTGAAAAGGCCACGGAAGACAATGAACATATCAATACTTTTGACTAAAACTTGTTTGTGCTTCGAGTTATTTTTTGGTTCGATATCTTAGAAAGAGCTATCAAACAAAATTGCAAATAAAATAGACTTTAAATTTAAGAAATCGAGCTATTTGTATGGGAACTTGAAGATGATATTTATAAAGCCCCCTCGTAAAACCACCTCTAATGTTTTTAGTATGTTTTTAGTTTCCTCTTCAAGCGATGGTGAGGGCTCTGATGACGACGAATATATCCACCCACTTTTGCAAGCACATCGCAGGCCTATTAAGACCACAGCTGAACCGACTAAATCACAACAAACCGTTTCTGAATCCCACCAACAACAAACCCGCCACATTCCCGCTTCCTTATCGTATGAGACCACAGGGATACAAACAGTGCTACCTCCAAACACTTATTCAGATGCTGTTGCCGTGTACATGGCGCGAAAATACAGAAATAAGAGGCATGACACGCCTAGTCCGAAGAAAAATAATGATAATAACGAGGATCAAGAAGCAGCGGACGAGCACTGGGCTGATGATCTAGAAGAAGACCAAAGTAATGCAGTGATAAGTAAGTTGAAATTTTAAAGCATTTTCGAATATTTCAGTATTTAGGCAAGTTATATTTTGAAAAGCCATAAGCCTTTCAAGTTTAAATGACTTGCTTGTTGAGACTGGTGGGTTTACTTGGAACAGATTCGATGCACAATGTTCATGCATAATTTTCTGAAGCGTGTTTCTCATACGAGGTGAACTCTGAAGTAGGAAATAGATAAAATGATCGAGGGGTGCCTTTTTATGAGTGACTTCTGTAAAAAATAAGGCTTATGTTTTTCTAGTCTTTGGAACGCTTGAGTTTTACTAAATTTTTAAATATCATTGACAAAAACATTATTTAAGTAATATATATATAGATATTTGTTTCAATTATGATTGCTGAAATGCCACTGCATACTCTTTTCTATGCTTTGTGTTGTTATGAACATCTCCTCTTTCAGATGCCCAAAATCTCGCCTACTTCAATCAGATGCAGTTAGAACTCGCCCAGCTTCACCCAGCTTACATGATGACATCACTTGTTCCTCCTCCGCCGCCACCCGGACAAGAAGAACAACGTAAGGGGTTTTCCACTATTCGTTGTATAAGAAGTGTCATGATTTTAAAATTATAGTCAAAATTTTAGTTTTTATAAAGTGCAATATCTCACTTCATTCTTCAATAATATACTTTTATAAATGAGAAAGACTTTTTTTATTATAATCTTAGCATTCAGTATAATTGTTTTTTTTAAAAACCTGTTTGTTATGATGTCAAAGCTCGTGCCATTTTTGAAAAGCGCTTATTTTTAGGCCAAGCCATAGCAAAGGATTTACGCTGATTCTAGCCCTTACCCTAACCCTTTGGTCTGATTCCACCCAACGTAACAAAAACCCACACTTCTAAATGCACATTACTCAAGGATCAATTGGGATATTGCATTGTATATGTCTCCTTGCTTCCGGATTCGTCCCGCCCAATAAATGTTTTTGTAGTCGATTAAAAATTTCCGATAACTCGACACATTCAAAATGAATTTAATACGACCTTGTTTCAATGCCATTTCTATAACGTTTAATCCTTTAGATGATAATAGCATTTTTTTCTGTTTATAATTTGAGTTGACTGTCATCATCACTATTATCAGGTTTGAGAAAATCTTATATAGATAGCCATAGAAATATCTATATATACTTTTAATCATAATGGGCATTCAGATTTTTACAGTTAGTACGAAACATTCATTCGATCTGTTATTGTCAATGTTTGTTATTTCCTCGATCCTCTTCACCATTCTCAAAAATTTTTCTCCGATTCAAGATTTATTCTTTTGTAGCTGGTACTGCTGAACCAAATCCATCCATTTATGCAATGCAGCTACCACCGCCCCCGCCTCCTCCTGGATGCTCAGAAAGTGGAATCGAGGACAGATCATTTGCTAATCAGCAACAACAGCAACATCACATCGTGCCTCCGCCACCAGATCTCAAAGTAGTGGTTGACAAACTGGCTGACTATGTTTCTAGAAACGGAGAGACATTCGAGGAGCAGGTGAAGAAGAAGAAGGACTTTGATTTTTTAAAGTCTGATAACATTTATTATCCGTATTACCTGTACAAAAAGCAACAATGTATTCTGGAAGTTTCAGTGACGAAGGCTCAGAAGAAAAAGGGTGAGATGATAATATTTCATGTTTTTGGCCACCGAACTTTTGTTATTGAAGAGTTGATTTGCTTTTGAAAAGACAAAATGTCTCCAGTTGTAAACTTGAGGATTGGGATTTGGGCCATCAAAGTTGAGAATTTGTATAAATTTAGAGATGAATGTGCTGCTTCTCTTTAAGTTTTTTACTGAGGCAATACAAGAGACTAAGAAGTTTTTATTTTTTATGAAAGAGAATAAGAACTCTATGTTTTCATAAAGAGAAAATAAATCAATAATTCTCTGTTACTTTCATCTTTTCACACCCTCTTGTGTGACTCGGTGACGAAGCTTTGTTTATGTATGGAAGTTTATAAATTGGTGATAAGTGTTTGTTTAGAATACGAGGGCTTTCTACGTAAAAGTTAAGGGGAAGGAACGAAGCAAGTAATAAAACAATAGTGGTGAAACAAGTGAAAAAGTTAAGAAAAGATACCTAGAGAATAAAGCATAGTTAGAAAGAGAGAAAGATGTGTTGTGAAATATATAAAAAAAGGTATGCGAATTTGATGAAGTATTTCCTTGACAGAAAGTAAAAGGCTTTTGCAATGTTGTGACAAAGAATGTTTTGTTGTTTATTACATCGTCAAGCAATGTGTTTTTTATTTCAAAACAAGTACTTCCTTTCGTCACATCGATAAGTTTGTTTTTTATCATAACATTTGATTTGATAGCATTTTAGATTGACTTTTCACCAAGCTTGATTTCATGTTTGTAGAGGAAGAAGAAAAAGCTACCAAACCGCTTAGCTTTGCTTTGAAAACTAAAAAGGTGACAAAAGCACCAGTTGTCAAGTCGAAGGCAGTGGAAATATTCAAAAAAGCAGAGGAAGAAGCAGAGAGTGACGAAGATATGGAGGAGGTTGCGACAGATTTAGATGGATATAGGCCAAATTTTGTGAAGAAAAAGGAAGAGAGCAAAGAAAATGAGCCCAGTATGGAAGAGAAAGCAAAAGACACCATGGAGAAAGCCAAGAGAATGATTGCTGAGGCACAGAAGAGGCAAAAAGAGCTGCAGCAACAATGCAGCTCCTCCGAAGGTATAAAGGCCTAATCACGTATTGCTTGCGAGCATAGCGATATTCTATTTCATTTGATTGTTAATTATTTAAGTAAACAATTAAATACTGCCCTTTACAAAAGAAGAAGATAAATCTTGACAACTGATCATCAAAATATATAGTATAGGATAACAAAGTAAAAAAGTTCAATATAGCAGTTAGATCTTTTCGAATACAAAACATAATTATAAGGATTTCAGTGACAATTTTCTTGAGTCATATGTCGAAAAATATGAATTTACCACGCAATTAAAATTTGATCTTCTTATAATTGGTAATCAATGGTACAGAAACTGTTATTCTCTCTAGGGAGAGGCTTGGTTCCCCCCTAAATTCTAGGAAGGAAGCTGTTTCTTAAATTTCATGTCCCTTTATTCCATCCTCGTGTCTTATTTCGCTGGTGAAGCTATACCCCGCTCTTTTGAATGTATAAGTGTTACTGTTATTTGTCCTTTACCTGGAATAAGGTGTATTGGAAGATAGTTTCCTGATGAGGGGGCAGCGGAGGCCAATAGCAAGCATCTTTCGACGTCCCATACTTGAACTGGAGTTCCAGAAAATATTCAGAAATTAAGTTTCGAATACACGGCTCTTGCAAGCATTTTTTGTAAACAAGGGATTTTTTCTAGTTTCAGCAAGAAATTCAGAAGGGGTTAACCCAGAGAAGCAGGCCCAGATGGAAAGGCGTAGGAAAGCAGCTGCATTTATTGGGATGTTGAAGCAATCCAATTCATCAGATCATTCATCAAGCAGCAGGTAATGTCGTTGGTTCTATTAAAATCCAAAGAATAAAAGTTGCAACAGGCCTGGAAGAGCATAATTTTTTTCTTAAAATGATACTTTCAAGTATAAGGTTTTTAGATTGAAAGCTCTCAGATTATTTACATATATATACATAGCTAATCTTCCTTGGTGAACCCGCCGAGGTGGGTTCTTTCAAGGCCCCCCTCAATCCCGAAGTGCAAATTGGCAGAAAACGAACTAATGCCGAGATTGAACCCAAACCCCTTTCTCCACAGAAATCTCTAGAGAAAACCCCCTTCATTTTGTGGAACGGAAATCATCACGACAATTATATAAAGGTAGCATGCATTATACTAAACAAGAATGCAGCACTCGTTACACAGAAGCAAGCATTTTTGCACGTCAAAGGGCATTTGGCTCTTCAAACTGTATTCTGCATCAGAAAATGTCCAGTTTTCCAATGCCTCCCCCTCTGGTTGTAGCGTAAGTAAACAAAAATATCAGATTTCCCCGAATCGAGGTTTTAGCTGTGTTAATGGCTTGGTTTCTTTTTGACTGTAATCTCCTTAAGAAATCTATTTGCCATTCTAGTGACGATGAAAGTGGCCATTCTTCAAGCGACAGCAATGAGTCTGACAACGAGGCCCATCCAAAAAGGCATTTTCAGGAAAGAAGGTAAGAGTGCAAAGTGCTACCTATCAGATGCTTTATCATGTTGACAATCGATTAGGCGTCTGGTTTTAACAGTTAACATCGTTATCATCCTAACCAGAAACAAAATAATGTTGCACAATTAAGAGGAAACCTGCTTGATATTAATGTTTAATGCTTTTCAAATTTAAAAATTTCAAACATTTTCACGACCCTACACTGACTTCTGATTATTTTCGCTTGCAAAATATTATTTGTTTAAGTCAGACATCAAAATTTTTTCGATTTTTTAATTGTAATCATAGACGTAAATAAATGTTTTGTTTTCTAGTTCCTATCATTTATGTCGCCTTGAAAAAATGCAAACCGTAAGTTTGATCAGGGTGTTGATAAATAAAACATTCGATGTGTCAGCTTGATGCTTTGTATTGATTGATCGGACTGAACCAAATCTGGATTGTGCTGTCCTCACAAAACGTATTTTGGGGGAATGACAAAGTCTGCATATATTGGCTCGTACTTTTATGATAAGAATTACAAATCGAAGTCTTTTTATTGCCATAATGTAAAATATTTCACGTTTGTTTATTCAGGAATAGTGATGATTAAAGTTGCACCTCCATGGCCAAAACGCAGTATCTGATGGTAATCCTCTACTCTATTTCTCGTTTACTACAATCATATGAAGTTTTCCGATTTCTATCATTGTATACCTCGTGATTCTTTACGTGTAACAGCCTATCAATGAATTTTGAATCCTCGATGCAAAAATCGAAGAAAAAACGATCCTGTCCAGAGTGCTCTTTTTCTTATATGCTAAATTTGGAAAAATTCTGCCCTGCAATTATAATCTCACAGAAAACTTTTTTCTTGTTTTAAAAAGTATCAAAAGTCCAATCCCTGCCTTAACATCGTATTTTCGTATTACCTCTGCATGCATTTTAAGCTCTTAAACAATGCAAAGCTTTTATCAAAAATCATAGTCGCAAACATTTTCGGTGACACTTCAAGATTTCTGAATTTTCAGTCTGCCTGTTGTCATCTAGGTTTCTGCGATGCTGTAATTTCCATAACAAATAGCTGAACATAATCACGCATTTTTAAAGGAATATAAATTGTTTACATATCGTAATTTTCTCCCAATCTCCTGCTTTCCAGGTAATGATGAATTTTCAGTCAACAAAGGGCAGTGCTGGTTCACAACTTCACCCCAGTCCAAACAGTGATGAAGCCATCCTCTCGACCGTGATTGACCTCACTCGAGGCTTTATGTGAACAGTAAATGGTCTGCCGATAAATTGCTGCCAGGGAATATGCGAGTCTGTTTGCCAAAGATGGTTGTAAGGGGAAGAATTAAGAAGGAACCAAGGTGGCTGAGGATTCTATGGAATACAAAGACAGGTCATTCTGCTTTCAGACTGTAGTTTTCATTAATTATTGTCTTGCTCTATTGATCCATCAAATAGGTAAATACCTACCACAAAGGTTACAGTACTGATGGATTTCTCATATTCCATTTGTTTTTCGTCAGTTCATTGGTTGTTTATATCATGGATTAGATTAAAGGATTCAAGATTTGTCAAGAGATTCAAAAAGACCTAGAAAATTGCTAGAAAATCGAAAAAGAAACTCGAGGTAATTTGAAAGACCATATAATATGTCTACTTAAAATCACCATTTCTATATTTTACTTTATGAAAATAAATGTTTTCTGAAAATTGATAATGCTTGGTAGCAATGGCGATTAATATCTAGAATATTTTGTTATTTCTTCTGCAAGTTACTAAAACATAGCTGAAACAAGATTGCTATAGTTGTTATGAAGGAACTTACTCTTTAGGAAGAAGATATTCGTCGTCCGCGCGCTTTAATCGAAAGATTTGCTGTAACAGAATGGAAGACTCGGCTATTTTACGAGAAATTGTTATTTCACAACATTATGAATCGTAAACACTTTCTGGCAAAGTTTTACTAATCACTAAAATGGAAATGTTGAGGCCAGAAGCATCTTTGGAACTTTTCCTTCTTTCTTCATTAGAAGACAGAAAAAGTAAATCTCGTTGTATCACTCTGTTTTGGCGCACAAGTGATGACCCTATAGCAGAGAGACTTTTTATACTTAACTTTGTTATGTTAAACATTTTCTAACAAAAGGAGGCAGCATAGAAACAAAGAGAAACAAAGAAAAACACATTTTTGTTACCAATTCTATTTGTCGTTTTGTGATACATGTGTATAACAATTAAAAAACGACAGAATATTTCATAAATATAGCATAATAAGAACAAACAGTCATTAATACAAGTGCTTGGGTTCTTTTGAATTTACCCAGTTTCTATGATACCATATCCGTGCTTGATGGGGCCATTTTCCAGGCAGACATACCAAGGTGGGGGGGGATGGAACAAAGGGTGATCGGGGGACTAGGCAATCCCGTTGCCCCAAAATTAAACAAGGACTAAGCTTATTGTTAGTACTTTTACATCTTTACACAGGAGCAATATCTCGACATTGAGGAAGGCATTTTACTTACATGTCCAACCAGAAATTGTTTTTACACCACAAATCAAGTTGAAAAACGTAGAAAATAAATACACTGATAGATACTAGCTAGTTAGGCTACAACGTGTTTTCGACAGTTTTATATGCACATTGGTACTAAGAATTAACAGGGAATACGAACGAATATTGGAAATACAAGAACACCTAACACTTGGAAAATAAACAAACTGAAAGACATAAAAACTTAAATAACAAATCATTTAAAACCACAAATAGGACGTTGTAAAAACTAGTCATCGGGGAGCTTCATCGATTTCACTTCAAGCCATAAATAGTTGTAAACACTGATATTTTTCCCAAAGAACAGACAAGTGAAAAATCTACAAATTTCTTGATGAAGTCTAGAATGCTTAAACATTTCAAGGTAGAAAGAGATTTTCTAAGAAAGTTTCGTTACTTTTTTATCTATGGAAATCCACATAAACATTAACGAGCTTTCTTGATGGAGGCCTAAGGTGAGATTCCTTAGACAAAAGTACACAAATGCTGTGCTTTAGGTCATGCCTGCAATGAAATCCAGTTTGATTTACTTTATCTTGGTATGGCTGCCCCATTCTAGAATCTTCCAACGGTTATCCAAGCAACTTTTCAATAACTGGCCGCTTATTTAAAGATTCTGTTTGTACCAACAAGCAGCTTCAAATTTGTTTTGACAGGCCTGACTTCTTAATGAACAACAGTCTCCTGTGTACCAAACGCGACTTTCTTTTGATCAAGCTGGTCAGATCAACAGCTGAATTTGGATAAAATCAGACTTTTGTTACCTGCTGCCTGAGCCATCTTCCCGCCTTTTTATGGCGTCGGTTAAATGCCGATAACTGCTGGCTTTTTTGATCCAGGGGCTATTCAGTTGATATAAAAATGATGGTATACTACTGTTACCGGACCTCCGGACCTCAAATTTCAAAGCGTTCTGAAACAAAGCCGCCCTGTTTTGATCCTGATCCGGCCACCGTTTCACCCAATGAGAATACATTTTGAAGGCACAGCTGTCAATCATCCTACGCACTGGTTTATAACCGTACGGATCCTTAATAACAGTTTCTTTAGTAGCAGGCTGGTGCCTTTTGTGGTACGTATAATACAGTTCTTTCATTGTGATAATTGCGACAGCAACCGCCTGAAATAAGAAGGAGGATTAAGAACTCTTAACATTTATTTAACAAGCGAAGATATAAAGAAACTAGACACTAATGATACTCATATTTAAGATTGCAAGCAGAATTTCGACGTCATTTTGTCGAAAAGAACCAAATAGTAAGGTAAACAAGTAAACCATTAGAAAGATAATAAGATTTAAATTTGAGCATACAAACGAATATGAAAGAGATTAAATTAGTCTTAGTCTGTTATTTCAAAGATGGATGGGGATTAATCAGATTGTGTTTGTAATCGTCTTCAAGGCAAAGCTGTAAACATGGGCCTAACTAGGCCATCTAAATGTAGAGTAGCAAGATTAAGATCATTTTGAAGACATTCCTGCGACATGTTGTTTTATTTTATTGAAGTTCTTTGCTAATCTACCACGGCTACAGATCTCAAAAAGATCCTAGTTCAGTAAACACTGAATAAATATTATCCTTTTAAATATAGCTATGCAGATTCATAGAAAGACTTAAATATAAGGTTTACAAAAATCAATTATCCCCACAACGGTTAATAAAATCAAAGAAACGATTAGAAATTATGTGTGACAGGGCCTTTGCAAGCCTGCCTCTGACCCTGCCTCTGACCCTGCCTCTGACCCTGCCTCTGACCCTACCCATGAAACTGCCCCTGCCCCTGCTAAAGGTCGTTTTATAATAATGGGTTTGTTAATAAACAAAAGTAACTAAAATCAATATATACTCATAATTTGATTAACCAAATATACGGTGTGCTCCAAGAAGTTAATCGCTTTAATTATTGTAAGATGTGAATATTTGATGATGTTTTTGGGTAGTGTTATACAGCCTAAACTACAGTTCATATGCATTAAGTTATTTACAAAATAGCAGGTATTATGGACTGGATTCGGTAATTTTTTGTGTATTGTGCCATCGTTGTTACGTAATATGATCAAATTTTTCTGAAAGATTAAGTTAATCTTAAGTGAGTGTTTAAATTACGTCTAACATATAGTTTTATACCGAAGAAATTATGAAAAGAACTTTGCAAATTTCTTACCTTGAACCTTCTTGTTGTTTTTGGTCTTGGTGTCTAGAGAAAAGAAAACACTTGAGTATTTTGCTGAACAAATATGTTTATTCAAACAGTGATGCGAAAAATCGAAATTGCCTGCAAGTTTAATGTGTACCATATTACTCTTGTATAAAAAGATCTACACCATTAATGAAGGGAGACTTATTAAAATACGTCTTATAGCCTCTAGACCAGTTGGAAATGAACGTTTGTAAAAACAGTTTACCCGAAAAGTCGTATCCCAGCAAAAAAATTGCAGGGAAAAATGAATATAGTAGGAAAGGTTTCCAAAAGCCTTCCATTCGTATACTTATTTATTAAAGATTGAAAATCTCAACACGATCTGAACATACACCATAAGCCAAGTTTTGAGTCTACCTTCACTGGTTCATCTGATACTGGTTTTGAGGGCAACTGAAGGACACTTCCTAAATGCACACCATTCAACCAGTCATCGCTCACCAGAACCCCTTGTTTATTCTCAATCAGCATTTTGCTGTACTATCAATTCCCAATCAGAATGGTTTTTAACTTTAGATGGCTTAAAAACATGCGAGTAACCAATTCGTTCGAAAATCCTCACTCACTTCACCCACAGCAAACGTAAATGTCACTAGCTTACTCTCTTAATACAACAAAACATCCCTTTTATATCCCAAGTTCGCGTGTATTTTTCGCATGCCTTGAAAACAAACACCAGCGTCTGAGAAAACTTGAGGGGAGGTAAAATTCCTTGCACAGCATTCGCTATTGAATTGAATACCCCGTTGCTAAGCAGCATTTGAATGTTTTTCGGTACTGCAAAAATTTACAGCTGGTTGCTTCTAATTATAAATCACCATCAGACAATTGATTGTTATGCGATATTGCTGAGAAATGAAAGCAGAAAAACCAAGAGCATTTAATTTAACGATGCGTGTTCATTTGAGAACAGCGAGAAGACATTTCAAGGTTGTTTGCCAACTCATAACACGATCAGATGTGGTTAAAGAAAAGCGAGTTGAAGAAATGAATTACGAAACAAGGACGGTATTGCGTTCACGGTATAAAAATCGAATACCTAAGGCAACGGGAACGAAAAAAAATATTACTGCTTAAAAGAACGAGTATTTTTAAAACACTTTTTAAGGTTCTTTCTTGTAAATAGTTTCCACTAGTTTTTCTATGCAATTGCCTTTTCCTATGAGCAGCCCCTGTTCAACCAACTTTCTTTTTAACTGCCCTTTTGGTTTGGTGTTGTGTAAACGGTGCTTGTTTCAAAATGAATCAATCACCCCAGGCTGAACTAAAGTATATTTTTGTTTTTAAAAGGGATGGGTTATGAAGTTACTAATGTTTGCAAAACACTTTAACGTGAGATTGGTCTTTCAAAGGTCGTTTACTTACAGCCAAGCCTTCAAACCAAGGATGACACAAAGCTTGGTCCGCCGAGATTCTCAATTTCGGATCGACCACCAGTAATTTCCTTATCTGAAATAGAAACAACTGCATTAAAAATAGGCATTTTCATCAGAGCTAACTACTAATGAAAATTACTGGCTTATTGGTCTGTCATGCAGTGCACGATGTCGTGTAGGCTTGAAATGTACAGACGATTTCAAGGAGTTTTAGCAAAGAGAATCAAAGGCTCTATAATAGCATTAAAGATGCAATATAAATGTCAAAGCATTGCATTTGTAAGTTTCTTCAGAAAAACAAATATAGTATCAGATACAGTGAGAGAGATACCGGATGCAAATTCCTTGAATATACCAGGAACAAAAACATGTATGAAAAAAGGGAATTTTTTATCTTGTTTGATCGATTGCTATTTTTTTCTAGGTGTAATTTATGATAAGGAACAAGAAATGAAGTAACAAAAACTCCGGGTAATCGACAAAAAACAAAAACCGTTTAAAATCTCTAATGGAACATATATCAACAAATGAATAGAAATGTAACACATACCTAGGATCAGTAAAACGAAAGTTGTAATATATACAAAGTAGTGGATATAATGTCAATGTCTCGTCTTTGAAGGTCAATGTTTCTGTCCCGTCATGTCGATGTTTTGATAAAAGCTACCACTCAAACTCAGCTGATTATTGAATACATTTAAAAATAAACGAGAGTTCTTCGGCAGCAATACCAATAAAGAAAATTGAAAAATCATGAGGAAAAAGTGCAGCAAAAAGCTAGGTTCATAGATAGCTGTATGTGGTGTGCCAGGTGTCGCATCAAATGGCTGTGTTTAGAAAATTGAAAAGTGGTTGACAGTCGTCTAATTATCACATGTCTGAAAATTGAGTTCTTGTGGTGTCAGGGTAAACCAGTTGTTAGACTTTCAAACTAAGTTCAGGAAAACAGTCTGCAGACATATGCTCGCATGTGAGCTGAGCTATGCATCAAAAGCACAGTTACATAATAAGAACAGAACTGAATTAAATCACTGTCACAAAAATGGCCTGTAAAAAGTAAATGGAGCAAAAAAAGAGATTGAAAGATGGAGATGATTGTAACCATGAAGATATGAAAAAACATACCAGGTCTTTAGGAGCTTCAGATATGTCATCCCATTCCGGACTTCCAAACTTATACTTCCCTTCTGTTATATTCTTTATCATTTGCATCTGCTTTCTATGCCAAAAAGGAGCAAATCCAACCAACCTAAAAGGAAAATTGATCATAATTTTCTGTTACCAAAGAAAAAACATTCAGCGATATTCACTTAATAATTAGCTGTATATAACTTATTTTGAACTAATACATGATGATAAAAAATCAACCTTTGAAACAGTCCAATATATTTGCGAACCTGTGAACTTCCAAATTAACATTTCATTTGTGCACTTTTTTTAGGCTCATATACCATAGATCATTGAGCAATTACTGCACATGGACCAGTCAAAAAGTTTCCTAAATTCAGTTTAAATCGTTGGATTTCAAAAGGGATCTTGACACGTGATCTCAAAAACAACTACTTTAAATCCTTGAATGAGCACTGCCTCTAAAACAGTCAAAATTTGAAGAGTACCCCCTCCAATGAGCACGCCATTCGTCAAATAAGTGCATGCAGGTGCACTGGTAACGTAAGGCTTGAAGAGAAATATCGCTTAGACTATCACAAATCATTTAAAACAAAATATGGTTCCCTAGCTAGGCTTGTGTGAGATAAAATGTAAACTGAAAGCGTGTGTTTTTTAATTATATCCTCTGAAGTTCATTGTTTACAATTTTCTAATGATCTAAATTTGTAACACATGACTTGCAGTAATAGATCAAGGATCTACGGTATAGGAGCCTGAAAGATGTGATCAAATGAAAACAAATCATGATTGAGCTTGTTTTGAAATAATCCATATCAAAGACCTTTCATGCCATTTCTGGCCTGGCCTTTATGAAACTTAGTAATTGGAATCAAGTTTGACACATCAAATATTTGAAAATGAAGAACAAAAAAGTTGAAAATACATACAGTGTATAAAGTATAACTCCACAAGCCCATCTGAAATTCAATAAAAATTGAAGGTTACACAAGAAAAACAAACCTGATACAAGCTGATTTGACCAAGTAAAAAAGTATCTTATTATCAAAATTGAAGTATCTTACGATGATAGATAGAAAAATCAATAATATTTGTTAGTTCCCAAGGGCCCACCTGCTGCCCTCTATAACATTAGGAATTACTGCCAGTAGTCAATGGAACTGACAAAGATATTACATAAGAGTATTTTGTGGAACGAATTCTCAGCTATGAAAGCTATAAAACTGCTGAAAAGTAGTTTCACAGTGAGATACTGATAAAATCTAGGGCATACAACACCTAAAAGATTTTGCTTAGCATCAAGAGAACTCCTGAGCTTTAATGATTGCTTATCAAAATTCACAAAATTGCTCTGCAACACTTGAAAATTGCTAATTAATTTACCAGGTATTATGGTAAGAAATAAAGTTTCAAATTGGCATTAAGAGTAGAAATGCAGTAAGATATAATGAAATAAAACTAATATTTGAAATCTGCACTTTCTTTATAGTCAGAAGACCAATTTTCATTGCTACGACTTAAGCAGATAAAATGTTATCTTTATGTTAAGAAAATAACACAAAGCTTAAAATTTTATGGAAAACATCCAAAATTCTAAACAGCTAAACTTTTGAAGAAATTTAGACTACCAAGTTTTCAATTTTGTCATAATTAATTCAATTAAGTCTAGGGTGTGTAAAAATGAATGCATTCTGAAAACATCATGGTTACAGCCTCTAGATTATCCGACTCATTCATAATTAATATGCAGTACTTACAAGTCAACCTCTTTTCCATATCCAGGCATATTTTCAAACATGTAACATTTGAGGGTTTCTGGTGCAAGGTAGCCATATGTTCCACAAAATTCTAAGAATCAAAATTGGATACAATGATGTATTAATTAATTAAAACAAACAGGCTTTTATTTGAGAGAGTCTGAAATCAGTGAAAAGTTGCTTCAAAGTAGGTATATATATGTATAACTTACTGTTAAATAAAATATGGTTCTACTAGAAGAAATCATGGTTAAAGATAAAGAGCAACAAGGATGTGACTTCACTAAAGATACCTTACCTCTAACAGTTTCATCTGGTTCCAGCATCACAGCAAAACCAAAATCTGTTATAACTATTTTGTTTTCATTGTCAAACAGTATGTTTTCTGGCTGTGTATAATAGAAGTCAAATATAATTAAGAGGAAGTTGACAGCTCACAATTTTGTAAGCTACTCACAATTTCAGCATTAACTTTTGTTATAATCAACATAATTAAAGTCAGATAGTCATAATTAGAAATAATTAATAAACAATTGTTTTGTGCCAACAAACGCTGAGTTGAGAAAAACTTTTTTCCAATTCATAATAAATAATGATACCCCGAGATTAGAATGAACAAGAATATTTTCTGAAACAAAGCTGGTTAAATGGATTTACTAAAATTAAGTCTTCTCGGCATACTAGTGCAGGTTGAAAGTCAGTTGGATCATAAAGAAAAATGACAAACCTTATCTTGAAAAACATATCTATTGAGCATATCTTGAAAAAAAATTACAATGTCAAAAAATTTAGATACTTAAAAGTACCTTGAGATCTCTATGTACAACACCATTATTATGCATATGAGCAACTGCACTAAATATTTGGCACATTATTTTCCTATAAGAGATAAATAATAGAAGACAATTGTGAGCATTCTTGTTTCATAAATTATGAAATAACACTTAACTCTGAAGAAATGATGTTGGTTTGTTTCTTATTCAAGCTGAATAATCACAAACTGAAAGTTGCAAATGGTTAGCATTCTTGACAACGTTTGTCAGTAAACTTGGTAATAATGTAGAAGTTAAAATTGATACAGAATATTCATAATTGTAATTGATACAGGGCTTTTTGTTTAAGGTGAGCGATCACTCATGATCGTATCAGCACTCGTGCAAACCCAACCACGCAAGCGTTTGATTGCTCACGCAAAACGGCAAACTGCGAGGAATAATGTTTCATCAACTAACACATTTCTATTCCTCTTTTGTGACCCAAGCAAGTGACATAGACGATGCAAAGCTGGTATATCAAAACACAGGAAATATCAGCAAGCTGAATTGACCCCATCTCAACAAAAAAATGCAATTGAATTGTCAAATCCACCGCGAATGTTTAATAATACTCTAGGGATACTATAGAACTACTATAGGCATATGGTATTTTAATTTCATTAGTCTTTGGAACATCGTCTAGGCAATTAATCTCCTTCAAAACGTTTGGTACTCCATTTTGTGATCATCCAGGAGTAACCTCTATATGACCATCGTAATAAGCATAAAATTTATAAACTAAGCACATTCCATTGGTTATTTGATCTTATAACAAGATTATGCGGTTTTTATAAACATTATGGATGCTTTTTGCATTGTTGATTTTTCATTCTTAACATTTATCTTTGTATATCTATTTGTATTTGTTTCTACCTAGCATCCGAAGGTAGTTTTTAGGACACTGAGAAGCTTATGCTTATCAAGCAGTGTCCTGGTCTCTCCTCTCACTGTGATGACACCTCATGATTCCCATGTCTGGAATTACAGAGAGCTGGCGACTCTTCTCACTCTGGGTGAAAGTTTGGTTATGCCAGAGACTTGAACCATGGACCCGGGTCAGTAGTCAGCTTCTCTAACAACTGAGCCATCCTCGCACCTTATGATATTTCCTTGGAGCGATTGGAGAAATCACGAGAATGTTAGGTCACTCATGTGGACAATTTCTTATGAAAAGCTGAATAATCTTATGAAAGGCCTGCTGATATTGGCAAAAATAACCTCTAGTTGCTTATAACCAGTAAAAAAATTCTTATTCTACTCAACAAAACATGTAGGAAAGCCTTCATTATTAATTATTTACCTTGTTTCTTTCTCTGAAATTGTAACTACTCTTGTGAGATAGTCGAACAACTCTCCACCAGGAGCTCTAAAAGTAATGAAGGAACAGTCAGGGAAAAGCATAGATAAAATATATATTAAATATATGTTAAAAATATATGTTAAGGTCTGCTAAGGATTTTGTGTCATGTAAAATTTGTCAAAGATGGAGCTGATGGGGGTTTATCATGACATGTTTTTTTTAATTCTGCTGCCTGTAGCTGTTAATCTGTACATTGTTTGAAAGTGTTTCTAAAGAACCAAAAATAAATTCAGTCTTATTTCATCTTATTTCATTTATTCAAATGGTCTACTTCTATTTGAATTTTGTACTTGTATCATGGGTACCATGTTCCATCTTAAAAATCAACTCAAACTACCTAGTAACATATCTGTTCCAGATATTGGCATCAGCTAGTCCATGAAAAAGCCAGACAATTCAATGTGCTGCAAAGTATGTATTTGACAAGAAAATGAGAAAGGTTGTAGACTGGTTTTATGACCAAGAGGATGACATTCGAAATCTGTTGAAAGATAGGAAATTAATTGCTGACAAGTAAGCACTGAGAGATGAAATCAGAAAGCTCAAGAATGAAGCAGAAGAAGCAAAAAAAAAATACTCCAACGAGAAGAATCACAGAGAGTTCTATGCAACACTAAAGGCTGTGTATGGTCCCAAATCTAAAAACGTCCATCCTGTAAGAGCAAAAGATGGCAGGCTTTTTGGCTAAAGAAAACATAAAGAACAGTCGGGTTGAACATTTTAGTGAGCTTCTCAATCAACAAAATGATGTTGATCTGGACATGATGACATAGAGCAAAAACTAATCATTGAAAAATTGGATGAGCCTATCACTCTGGAAGAAATAGAAAAAGCAATCAATAACACCAAGCTCAAAAAGAGCTCAGGACCTGATGGTACTATAACAGAGGTGCTTGTTCATGGTGGCAATGTTTTAACGATTCTTTTAGGCAATCTTTAATCATATCTGGATAACAGAAGTTATGCCATCCGACTTTACTGATGCCAACATTTGCATCCTTTTTGAGAGAGGAAGTAGAAACCAATGTGGAAACTATCAAGGCATATCTCTTCTCAATGTGGAAACTATTGAGGCATATCTTACTACAAGAACTTCACAGTATAGTAGAGGATGTTTACCGTGAATCACAATAGGGTAATAGAGAGGGCAGAAGCACCATTGATGGGATATTTACTCTCAGACAAATAATGGAGAAATGTAGACAGTTGGTGGTCTATTTCTAAGATTCAAAGATACAATGAAAGATATTTTGAAAAGAGGTGAAATTCTTGACATATAGAGCAGCATTGTTACTGATAGGGTGAGTAGCGGAAATTAATCAGTAATGCATGTGCAAAGATTGATAATGATAGAAAGGAGACAATAAAGGACAAAGACGGAAACGACATTAAAACATCTGAAGAACTGACATTCGTTGTATTGAACTTTAATTCAATTTCTTTTTTTGCTCTCATACTTTGTGTTATGCCTGCATTGGGTCTTAGGCATGTGCATATTTATTTATTTACAATTGACTGCTTCTAAAAGACCATCTGCATTGATGCATTATTCAGATGTATTATTCAATTCATCAATTGTGTAAAAAGTAGTTTCTCAAGCTATTTATTTCATGTAAAAACTTTCATGTATTTGCAATAATAAAACTGTTTTATTTTATTTGCATTTGCAGTACTTACAATTCAAAAACCAGGAAGAAGAATGCTGCACTTTCATAAACATCTACCAGTTTAACTGTTAAAAAGAATACAGAATAAAAAAAATAGTCAAAAAATCAACTTAAAAATTGCCTTTACAATTGAAAACTAATTCAATAAACCTAATTTGTACACCTTAAATGTAGGAGGAAGGCTTGTTGTAGGTCATTCAATACTAGACAAAAAAATGCAAATCTGGTTAAAAAATTAACAAACGATAGTTACACCCAAGAGGACTTTTTGATACCGCACTGTATATTTTAACACAACTTATGAGGATTATCATGAGGACAGACCAAATACTTTCTAGATTTTGGGTATTACTCATTAAAATTGCTTGTGGAATAAAATGTTCAAGTTTATGTCAATTTAAACAAGTTTAATGCATAAAAACCATGCCAGATTTGTTTTATTTTTAAGAGTAAAAGGTAACATGTGGCATATACCAATAGATAAAAAAAATCTGCAAAGAATCTATGATTTCACAAATATTGTTGAACTGAATGAATTCAAAAATTAAATGCAAAAAGGTTTAGGGTGACACTTTGAAATGCCTACTAGTGCAGGCACCGCGAAGCGTTGAGAAAAGTGGAGGGTCTAAAAAAATGGAAAGGCTAAAATAAAATAAAAAGAGGCTTTACTGGTGGTTCACTTTTCAATATTTTGCATTTTTTGCAAAAAGTAGGATTAGTATTTAGTTAGTACTGGCTAAAGACCCCCCAGCCCCCTCCCTCCTGCTCCCCATTGCCTGAATTATCTGATTTCATAACTTGGAGAAACCATTGTGCTATCTTTAATTCAATACTATGTTAAAATTGATGTTTACCTATTTGACAAGCTGCAAATTAAATATATTATGCATATATCCCCTTAGATTGATCAGTATGCATCAGCAGACAGAGGCGGATCCAGAGTGAGTTCCTTGGTGCACAGAACTCAGTCCGTTTTCCGACATATGGCTAAAAATAGTGTTGCCTGAAACAAGTAATATTTAAGCTAAAAAAGCAAAACCTAAAAATTCTAAGGTTCATCACAGTCTCTTCAAATCTTAAAATTGCCAGTTTGATGCAATTTGTTTGCCCTTTTCATTCCTTCTTCTCTATCGTGATTTTTAAATGATTTTCCAGACACTATGGAGGACAACAGCAGTCAATTCTAGAACTCGAAAATGAACACTTTGTGCCTTGGAAGAGAATGAATTGAAACAATGGAATTTTTGTTTGAAACACAGATGGAACTTGGTCAAAACAGCAGCTGGAACTCAGAAATGATACCATATTCGCAAGAGATTTGTACAATAGCCAGTAGTTAATTGGCTATCTATTGTTTCTGTTTTATTGTTCTTATTGTAAAAACATTGAATTTCGAAATGGCAACTGCAGATGTGTTATAGGCCCTTATTGTGAATTTTCAGGAGCATTAACTACCTTGGTTTTAAATTGCAGTCTTAAATGGCACGGGAGACCTATGCTCAGGCGGAACACCATATTTTGATGAATATGCTGGTGTCTACAGAGGCAAAACAACAAATTGCGAGCAAAACAACAGGAAAAACTTTTCTGTGGCATCCAAGACAAACAAAAGGGTATTGAGAGAAGGAGAGGGGTTGCAAAAAAGTTCACAGAGGCACTGTCTTCTGTCAGAAAGAAATCTTGAATAAAGATTTAGAGAGCAGTGTGTACCTACCTCTCCCTTCCCCCTTATGGTACCAAAATGCATAAACATGATTAGTAATGTTGTTTTAGGCACAATTATCAATGCATTATCTGAAAGACCCTAGCCTTGGCCTGGAACTCAGTTAGGTTTTTTGCTGGATCCACCCCTGGCAGATATGTACATAAGTTTTTTTTGTTAATAATAAACTTACTTATATTTTGGTGTCCAGCAACTCTTCCAAGAGTGTTTATCTCTGTCTTGACTTGCTGCTCCTCATCACGGCCTTTCATTGCTTTCCCCTTTTCACTATATCTGTCAATTATCTTCACAGCAAATTCTCTTCCAGTTTCTTTGTTTACACATCTTCTTACAACACTTGATAAGCCACTATAAAACAGGAAAAATAATAATAATTCTGTCAACATAGAAAAGAACACACTACAAAAATGCTAAATTTTTCTCAAAATTAGGAAGTGACTTCAATACTCTTACAAGATTAAGAGAAAAATAGTGATTTTATTGATGTTTCTAAATAAAATTATATTACTACTATTCATTTTCAAAAGCAGTGGCAGGTGCAAAGTTTTCAAGGCTGAAATTTACAATCGGTATATACTTTATATCTGGGAAAAAGTCAAACAGCAAACACTGCCTTGCTATTCTTTGGTAATTCGTTAGCTTTAGATATAAGGAAAAGAAAACCACACTCTAATAGACGGTAATTAATGAACACACCCTATACACGCCCCCTTTTTGGAATTCCAAACACCAATTAACAGGATTAGCGCATTACTACAACGAAGTATATTTTGAACATTTACAGATGAAACATAATTTGCTAGATAAGTATTCCAATTTGTCAGAAAAACAACACTTGCGACATTTAGGAAAAAGGTATATTTGACAAGATAGTCAAATATTTTATCGTTTTAATCGTGGTTCGCCCGCCTTAGACTTTGTTAATGTCTTACTCAATTCATTAATGGAAGAAGAGAGAAAGCAACAACGAGCAAAGCATATCAATGACGCTGGGTAATCTGCAAAGGCATCAAAATTTCTTTATTTATTATTTTATTGAGCAATTTTTAAAACATTATTTGCTGACGTTACTTGTGTAGGTTCCTATGTTGTTGGTTTCTGGCTCTCTGCGCCAGTCTTGGTTGCTACAAAAGTCTAATAAAAACCCATATACCATAAATTTTGGTAATTTCTTAAGTTAATGTGTTACCATAGTTTTTGTGGAATATGTTGAACGTACCTAAAGGGAAAATGCTACAGACTCTAGAAGCGATTTCTGGAAAGTGGGAAGCTCGCTGTCAATCGTGTCGGTTAGAAAATGATGGGAAGAAATTGGTTGCTTCAAACTACGCCAGACTGTTGCCTAAAAACATTACGTTCTAGCGTTTTAATCGATTTCGGTTCCATAAAAACTTAATAAATTTCAAGCTTTATTTATACTTGCCTTCCCAAAGTCTCCTTTGGTTCGTATTTTTCGTAAAAACCTCTCGGCTCATCTTTGCTTATTTCCGCATCAAAATCCATCTTTGCAACACACGTCGTGTATCGTTGGTCTGAGCAAACTACACAGACTCCACTGGTAATATTCTGGAAAGCAACACTCCCTAAAGTCTATACAGCATGCTTTTTGACGCTACAAGCAAGCATCTGCCCGATAGAAGAATATCAAACAGCTTTCTCCAGGTGTTGAGTGATGCCTTGTATGTTGTCCGTCGAAACTAGACGGAAGACCTCATGTATGGCCTAAATTGGTCGAGGACAAAGAAATAATCATCACAAACGGAGGCTCGCCAATTCCATATAACAAGCAGAAAAGCTGCAGCAGCTTAAAGACAGTCCAACTTATTGAAAATTATAAAAAATTAAGATAACAAGCATACAAGCCGGCAAAACTTGAAGGCTCGAATGTACCAGCCACTTCCCCGGTCACGTACACCAGACAGCGATAAACAAGATAATTGCCATCTGCCTCGTGGTTATAGCAATTCAGTACCATTTTCTGTTTTCGATCATTGGCATTTTTAAGCCAAAGATTTGAAGACATCCCATGTTTTATACGAAAAACTTAAATAATTACTTGTTTAGTTCCATTTTTAACTTCAGTTTGGGTTTCGTATATATGTTAATCTCGAAACATCCCATTTAAAGTTAAAAAAATAGGTAGAGCACAGTCAAGCCAGATGGCTCAAAATATTACCAAATCTGTAAAAAACAAAGAAATTAACGAACTTTACCAAATTCTGATGAAAGCTAAAATGGTAGTAATTGGAATAATAAATTTCTTGGGGTAGATTGTGCATATGCGCCTGACAAATATGACATTAGAATTATGTTGTGCTTCACAACGGCAAAGTAGCAATAACAGTACTGCGGTTTCCAGTGGTCAGGTGATACTATGTTTTTGTGTGTAATATTTTTTGTTGGCCTCCATTCATGGAAGAAAACTGTAAATCGGGCTGGGGGGCGTACCAGGTCGACTATCCTAGCCTCTGGGAAAAAGAAAATCTTATATTGTTTTCCAGCTCCCCGGTGTACTCAAATTTCATACGCTGTAATCAGAGAAGAGACACTTTCACCACTAGCTCAAAATTGGAAAAAGCTTTTATCATTCAAGGGCTCCAGGGAAGAGAGAAGGGAAGCGCTTTCTTTGATAAAAATATTAAAATAAAAATTGTTTTGACAACTTTTTATTATACGTTAAATCTTTTCCTTCACCCAAATGCTATGCATTGACGTTAGATAAAAAAAATCGTTATGACAACGAAGAATCTTCTTGCAGCAGAGTTGTTGCAAAGACGACACGTGTCTCCAAAACTGCCTACTGACAATGATTTTGTGTCTCGAGTGGTTTTCTGTTGGTTTTGGCCCGGTGTGTCCGTCCACTCTCTCATTCAATGGTGTATCCGAGCTCATCCAAGAGATCTAAAAGAGACCCTTTCCATCTGACTTATATGTAATAAACTTTTTGCATAAAACGTTTTTCTGTCACACTATTTTGCCTTACACTGTTCTTATTGGAGAATGCTAGTTAAATGATTCATATTTTTATAGGTGATAGGTGATAGGTAAAAGAGGAACATATTGTGAAAAAACAAAGCTGCTAACGTTTCTATCATAAGTTGCAAATAATCTTATACATACAAAAGCCTCTTCTTCCAAATGTTGTATCGAATCAAATTGAGATGAGGCGGTACTCCTTCTAAAGTACCTCAAGATTTTAAAATTATGTAAATGGGCAAATTACAGCCAGACATTTGACTTTATGTCTTAGATGCCGGAGCAAAATGTTAGTTTTGCATTTATTTATCTTAAAATTCTATTTCGTAGTTTTTTTCGTATTTGTCTGTTACAATCGTGAAAATACTTACTTTGTTTATTTTAGCTTCTAATTTTTTCGTATATTATGTTATTTTCATGGACTGGATTCGTTTATTGTTAATTCGAAAGGGGGGCTTGTATGGGGGAGGAAAGTCGAAAATTTACTGTATGAATGTTCCTTTCATTAGGCTGAGCCAGCGACTAACAAGCGATATTGATTTTACCGTATCATTGGTAAGGCACCATTGAGGATGCAAAAAAAATTGTAAGAAAATATGAACTTTTGCTGACAAGTTCTTTTGTGAGAATTAAGTTTATAAAGAACATTACATTATATAATTAATATAAGAAAGAGCGAAACCTAAAATCACATCTATCAGTCAAAATTTCAACTTCGCGTCCCGTTCTCTTGTAATCTCATTATTTTGGGGGGCTATTTATCCGGCAAGGGGCGATTGTGTCCCAATTTTCTGGGACGGGAAACGTGTGGTGACAACAACCGCAACAGCAAACATATCAGCTCAGCGATCTGTTGAGTGTTGATCTTGCACATTGCAGGGAAGGTGTATGATTGTGGAAGACTGTTGGACTGGATAGTTCGTTATAGCAAATAAAACAGTTAGGACAGTGACAGAAGATGTATCGTTGCTTCTTTTATCGCTATGGCAATGCAATCTGGCATCATTTATGGTAGATTGATCGTTAGACAGGCCAAGAAGCTCGTCCTAAGAAGCTTAGTTGGTAACGGACCGTCGTCTCAGTCATTAAGGCTTGTCACTGCTTACTGTGGCTTTGCAAAGTTGAACAATAATCAACCGAGAAAGAAATTCATTTACGGCGAAGATGCATTTTTCGTAGCCGAAAATAAATTCGCTAATGTTGTTGGTTGGTATTGCAATTCAATTTCAGTTTTTCACATCTGTTTGGTCTCCGTTACTCTACGTGACCTATGAATTGATATAGAAACTTCGGTGTACAAATTACAAAAAATCAAAATCCTATTAAAGCATGTTTTTTTGATAACAGGGAGGTTAAATGTGTTTCAAGGTCAAATATGCATGTAAGGTTTGTGGAATAATCCTATAATGATGTGGACAAAAAACCTTGTATTCAAATGTTGATATGATTGGTGTGATTTGAAGCATATTAAAGTTCAGTTAATCCTTAATTCATTGAATGGATCTTAATCCAGAGTTTATGACATACTGAATCATTCAATAGCCAGCAATCCTTTGTGAATCAAAGACAGAAGCGGGGAAGAGTCGAGGAGACTGGCTGTATGTAAATTAATAAATATAAATAGGACTGCATTGCAAATCACTGAACCTCAACAGATGTATGGAGATGATTGTTAACGAATGAATAAATATTTATGAAAATTTTCTCACATTTGTGTCAATATTTTTAACATTGATTTTGTGGAATCTTTGTGGGATACTTGAGGCCAGGAATTTTGCACATCCAACTTTTCTTTTTTTACATGAGATTTCAATTGCAAAATTTTCAATAAGTAGCAGCAGAACTCTCTGATACCAAAAAGTGCGATTCTTCAATTTTGGCAATCTCCCTGATGAAGAATTTGAAATTTGTCGCTCATGAGAATCTATTAAATTGGTATCAAAATGAACAATCTTCTAACCTCTTTTGTGAAGATGATACAAATGAGTGTTATAAACCATTTTTAGGAGGGTGGATTTACAGGTTAGAGGCCATGTAACAGCGCAACAATGGTGCTGCTATGTTTGTTGCATTTAGTGATGTATCTTCCCCTAGACAAACCATAGAATGGAAAGAACAATCGAAGCAAGTAACTCTGTTTGCTCAGTTCTAGAACAAATAATCATGTTCTATTCCTTTTAGAGTAAAGTCCATTTTTCAGTAAAAATATTTATCTTAACCTTAACACTTTGTTTACAAATTTGAAAAAAATCATACATTTAGTTACCATTCCATTGAATATGCATTTTCAAATGAATTCATGGTTATCTGTATGAGAATCGAAAACTAAAGATAAGTGATTTTTTCAGGTGTTGCTGATGGGGTTGGTGGTTGGCGAGACTATGGTATAGATGCTTCTAAGTTTTCCACAGCTTTGATGAGAAAATGTGAAAGATTCGTAGTAGATGGAGGATTGATGCAGGCTCCAACTGCCTCAGAAGTTATAAAAGAGGGTTTTAAAGAATTGTCTGAAGATAAACCAGCAAATTTCGGTGAGTTTGAATTTCAACATTTGAAAAGTAATTGCATCATTGATTGGTTGATAGAATGCTTTATTGAAGTTGAATGAAATTGTAAAAACACTTCAAAATATTTTGCTTGTTGTTTTTATGTGATAGGATAGCTTTTGGGTACTTCCCAGGACATTGGAAGCATTTTAAGTTGGAGGGGGCTATTGGTTAAGTTGTTTGATTTTTATGTCTATCTCTTAGACATGCCTTTTAATAAGACACATCCTATATAAATTGGCCAGCACTTACCTGATCCCTCTTGCGCTCCATGTGTAGGAAACCAATACATGACTTCCCGTTCAAGAATGTATAAATACCCCATCTAAACATGCTTTAAGGATAAGTAGTTTAAGACAATCCAGAACTTTCCAAAGTCTTCAGTTTGATATCAGTTCCTTTTGTAGTCATTAATAGAATGTGTGTGTTTGTTGTTCATGCTGACCAAAGGCATTATCTGTCCAGACAATGTTGTCATAGGTTAAGGGCTAATGAATTTCAATAACACATGCTTATAATATTCACAAAATTGCTGGTCCATACTCAATTGTCTTTTTTCATTAGCACAACTTGTTGATTCAGCCTATGGCTGCTTCCTGTTCTTTGATATACCAGTTTTGTATTGTTCATGTCAATTGCTTGGGCCATTAGTTCTAGAAATGATTGGACATATGTTTGTTCATGAAGCTTTATTTGATTTTGACCTCTATTGTTTTTGTAAAAGTAACCCAGCAAAATTTCAGACAATAGACTGTGTTCCACGAGTGCTTATCTGACCGGGAGTGATCAGGGCCTAAAATAAAAATTTTTACAGATCCACATTTTTATTATAAAAATTGGGCATGGTACTTTGCTGGGATTGGCACCATGGAGATGGCAAATATAGAAACTGCCATCATAGTGCAAATAGCATGTTCTAATTGGGCAAATTCTTAAATGAATGAAGTTTAAGTTGCAAAAGCTGATTCTTTGCAATATATGGATAGGGTTAATAAGAAAATTAGCAACATATAGCAATGTCTTAACTTATGAGCAAAAAGTTGTTGAAAGGAAACTCTTTTACATGGCTTGTTTGGATCTCTGTCAGAGTTGTTTTTTATTTCCTTTCACCTTCAAAAACGCCCTTGAATCTGCCTTGCTTCCCAGATTATTTTGGTTTTTTGGAGCCATATCTTTGCAGCTATTCACGAAACTTGAAACTTGCAAGATCAAGCATATTTATTGCTATATTTATATATGTGTTAGGTTTTTCTGGAGCTATGCTGCTTTTCCCACCTGCTTCTGTCTTGTTGTAGGTGGGAATCAGCCACTCTACATCAACAGAATTAGGGTTTGCTGTAAGAATCCGAGCCATTATCTCGTCTGGTGGAATTCCTCTAAGAACAAGTCTCAGATCTTTGTGACCTTAGTCGTTTATTTCTCAATTTTTAATGCATGATTGAATGAAATAATTTGTCTGGGACAAAAGCTGGGTGAAATTTTCTTAAGTCTCTTTTACTTATGGAAAGTTCTTAATTGCATTCAACCCATCAAATTCTTTGTCATCATATCTGTTCTTCAAAAAGTATTCACACTGTAAGCAAGAACCTCGTTACAGATGGCAAGTAAACTCTTCTCTCACTGATGTACAAATTGTGTTTGTTTCTTCTTATTCTCTTTTCGCACAGTTTGAAAGCATGATCTTTACCCCCATCTTGTTTGTAATGCAGACACCATGCACCATATCTCAATTTCGGGAATTATGTCAAATTTGTCATAGAATTATGCTAGATTTGCAAAAATTATGCTAGATTTTTAATCAAGGCAACCCTGCTCGAGAAAAAAGCTCTCAGAATGTCAAAAGTGGCCAGAGTTGCAAATTTGGCCTTTTTGACCACTCATCTAAATTCCAGTGTACTCATTCTTCATAAGCAAAAGGGCAATTTAGATCCATGGTTTGATGGCCAAATTTCTCATTTTTGGAAGTTTCTCAAAACCTCTTGGCCGTCATTGACTTGGTCTAAGAAGCAAAATTTGACTGAATTCTGGCAGCATGTTGCAAAAAACAAAGAAATTGCAAAGGAAACAAAAATGTTTGCACAGATAATATTCAAAACTTTTTAAAAAAAATTCAAAATTGCAAATGATGAAACAAAGTAAAGTATAACAGACAGTTTAAGATAAAAGCAAGTGAAAACTTTTGTAACCTACAAAGCAAATTTTGATTACGGTATCACTCCCAATAATGAGCAAAAATTTAGCTTTTTTGTACTTAGGCAACTCGGTACATTTATAAACTATAATTAAAAACACACATACACGATCAAAAAAGTATAATTTGTCATACAACACATGGGATCAACACATGGCCCAAAAAGCCAGTGACCGAAAACATTAGCTTTTTTGTATACTGCGTTTAGCTGGCTGCATTTGGCTGCCAACCACAGAATATGTGGCTGCCAACCATTCAAAACAACTGGCAAAATCCTGAAGGTGGAAAGTCACAATTCACTCCCAAAATGAAACAACAGATGCTGGTGTGAAGTGTTTGCATTTGGTAACGATAGACAACGGATCAATGGAAATCATAATATCAGAATTATGCCAGAGTTATACTAGATTCCAAATTATTCTAGATTTTATGCTAAATGACGATTTTTGGCCAATATTATGCTAATATTATGCTAGATGAGGTCATCAACAGCACCAGCCCACAAGGGAGTGGCAGGAACGGGACTAGAGGGCTTGCTCCTATATTTTTTTACGGCCAAGCCCTTTGAAACACGGGAAAACATCCCTTTCAGAAAATATTTGCTTCTTTCTGTACTTATTCATAAACATATTTCAATTAACATTCAGAGATTCAGAAAAGATTTCAATTAGCATTAAAATACAAAACGGAGTTAGATAAAATACAAATTTATCATTGACCACACAAGATAAAGCACCATCAAAAAGAACAAAATGGGTTCCCAGCAGAACTGCTACTAATGGGTTCGTTAGTGAAACTTTCAAAACATTTTCTAACCTGCAAAAACCTTTGGGAGAACTAAAGTCGCTGTTATGCAACATTCCCAATTAAATGTTCCACCAAGAGGCTTATTATCATTCAACTGCTTTAGCCTTGAGATGACTCTTTCCAATGCTTCTACAATTTAAAAACCTTAGTTGAATTGATTTATTACTTTTTCTGAAATCTTCTGAAAGATATCACATAAACCCCAATAGAAATTATGGGCAGGAAATCATAATCTCAGCCTTGGTCTTCAGGCTTAGTGTCTTTTTTTAACTAAGTCATAAAAACAAACTAAATTAAGATGATGTCTTGAAGTTAAAGCTGTATACAGAGTCCACCTTATATCAAAATAGCACACAACAATATCATAAAGCGTAATTGATGTTTCTCCGCGTGTACTGAAGCTTCGAGCTCCGAAGCTTCTTTATTGTCCATTACTTATTTCTTATCGCAATTTTCTTATAAAATATGAATGCAATACATAAAGCTGTGATTGGGCTATCACTTTGAATTGAAAAATGTTTCCATTCCTTTCTTGTGCATTTCTATTGGTATTTTATGCTGCACTTTATCTAATTGTTAAAATTCTTATTGTTCTAGGTAGCAGCACTGCATGTGTTATTGTTTTTGATAAGCAAAGGAATATTTTAAATTCTGCAAACCTTGGGGATTCAGGGTTTGTAGTTTTTAGAAAAGGTAAGCTCCATCACAGAACAACAGAGCAACAACACTACTTTAATACACCATACCAGCTGGCCTGCCCTCCACCTGAACAAGAAGGGACTGTCATTCAAGACAGGTTTGAACCTCTGTTTTTGTTATTTTCAATAACTTCAAATAATGGAGACAAGAAAAACTTTAGCAGATGGATTCATTGTTTCAGCTACTGATAGCGTTAATTTTGCCTAGACACCAGACTCTCCCTAGTGGCCGCAAGCCTGGTGCATGTATCAGTATTGGCTACAGCAAATGACCTCATTTTTGGTTTTGAATATGGGGGTTTGTGGTTGCCATTTGCTTATTTGCTTACTTGATGGATCCCAAGGTGAATAAATGAAGATAGTGTTCATTATTTCTGTAAGATTGTTACAGCGTTTCTTCAAGCTGCTCCAAATTTTTTATAAGGTTTTGAAAAGTCTAAGGAAGAAACGAAGAACCCTTTTTGTATTTTGTGGAGAATAGTTAAGCATAGCCAACAGCTTTAAATTGTTTTGGCTGACACTAAGCATTCAGAAAATTTTATACTGAGTGGCCATCAAGTATTGATGCAGTCATGAACATCCATAAAATTTAAATAAAAAGTCAAAGGACATCAATTCAACCAGTAACAGTAAGAACACCAATTATGATAATGATAATTGTATTGTAAGCAATACAAACTCTTAATTTCTAATGTACATTGGTTTGAGTACTGCAACCATCAACCAGCAACATTGTAGATTTGTTGCTCAATCCACTGAACTTACAATAATCTAATAATTACAGTTTTGGCCTATCTACCTAAAATGAAACTTTGTGCATTTTGTTGGTGATGCTTTTTCTTAAATTCCATACTCAAAATGCAACATTTTCAAAATATCTAGGACATTTATGGCTATGTGACTTTGAAGCTTGTTTTTATTATCAGTCCTTTGTAAAAAGTATTGGTTTCTTAATCTGAGGTAGTTTTCATGAGTTTTTTGGTGGAGAGAAGGCGGGGGGAATGAACTGAGATTTCATCAGCCATTTAAAAAGCCTCTTTAGAGGAATATTAGTGTCGTGATTTTCTAAATACCATTGTATAGGGTTCATGAATATAATTCACTTGCAGGAAGAAATTAATGGAGATGAAAAAAATCATTTCTTCTTACAATCAGTTATTTTATAAATACCTCCCGAAATATTTCACAAACTATTATGATGTTTTTGTTTGTAGCTAACCCTCCCTTTTCCAACTATGGTTGAGTTTTGTTGTGAAGAAAATGAGAGGAAAACAATTCTTTGTTCATAAATATTTATCTCACATTTGTATAGATTGAAAAATAAAGAAAAAAATACTGTTTATAAAGTATTAAATTACAGTACTTTTATCTTTGTGCACCTGCATATTACCTCTAGAATCCTTAATTTTGTTGTTATAATTTTATGTAAGTATGTGTTTGATTTGAAATAATAGTTGTTGCATTCATGGAATTTGTTGATAAACACAGAAACTTCAGTCTGCCTGTAGACAAAACCGTTTTTTATGTTGTACACTTTGATGTATAAAACTAGACAGTTCTAAGTTGTAGCCCCAACTTTCACATTTATTGCAATCACCAGACAAGTGTAAAGCAGCCAAAGCATAAGTTCTGCTTAATTTGCATAAAGTATTATATGACAGACTGGTGAAATGCAATGTTTGTTCTGTTATTTCATGGAGATTTTCTCTTTCAGCATCGATGAAGCTGATGTATCAACAATAGCAGTTGAAGAAGGTGATATTATTGTCCTGGGAAGTGATGGTTTGTTTGACAACCTATCTATGCAGCAAATATCAAGAGAAATTCTTCAACTTAAGGTAGGTTGATAGAAATTCATTTACCAGACTTTATTCTTCAATCTCAGAATCAATCTGGAAGAAAATGCCAATTAAACCCTGTTCTTTCTTTGCTATTTTTTATTATAAAGAATCAACCAGTTACTAGTAATCTGTTACACTTGTTTTAGTTTATGATCACTAGACCAAATGTTTCATTTAATGCAATCATTTTGAAAGAGAATTGAAAGTATGATAAGTTTGATAAGTTTTTTTGAAAGGATATGGTTGGGAAATTTTTTAAAATTTGACAGTTTAATAAAAAATTTGTCTGCTTGGAATCATGAGATTGGTCCTATACATCATCACTTCCTCCCCATATGGTAGGCCTCAAAGCAGTTTTTTTAATATTGGAAGCAAGAAAAAACCACAATAGGTCAATGGTAGTTCCTTTTAGGGAACAACAGCAAAAAATTTAGAACTGAAATGTGTTATGATTAAATGTGTTGCCACCAACTATTTTCTATGAGTGTTTTGCATGTAATTTTAAGTTTGTTTTTGATTGGACTTAAATCAGTTCCATTTTGTATCAAAAATGATGTAAAATTGTTTTGTTATAGAAAGACTGTGTCAGGGGCCAATAGTTTACTGTATTTTTTTGAAAGGCATTTCAGGATAGCTGTGCTCTTAGTCTATCAAGCCAATGCTCCAGAAACAGTAGAGGTTCTTTGCTCTTAAGGACAGTTTTACTTCATTATTTACTACACTGTCTTTGAAAAAATTCTGTTATTATTTCTCACTCAAGCCTCCTTGTTTGTCGAAATAATAACCGCCGATAAAATGTGTTATTGAACAAGTTAGAATTATTTTGAAGTGCGTCCTAAGAATCTCAAAGATGTAGATCAAAGGATCTCCTAAATATGAGAGCCACTACTTTTGAACCACTTATATGAAAGTAGAGGAAATAAAATGATGCAAGTTAGTAGCTTTTTAAAATTTCTGATAAGAAGGTTTTTTGAAACTTCTAGAAATGGGGAAAACTGCCTTTTAGTAATTTTTTGCGTTAAAAATTTTTTTTCTTCTCAAATTTATAGGACACAACAAAAGAGTCTTTACAATATCTGGCAAATTGTTTAGCTGGTAAAGCAAGGAAGCTTGCATACGATCCCACATACCTCTCTCCTTTTGCAATCAATGCCAAAAGAGAAGGACTGGACATTAAGGGCGGAAAGCCAGATGACATCACTGTGCTTATCTCCGTTATTGCCTGTAGACAAGATGTATAGTGTTTTACACTCTTGTGTGAGAGATTTGTAAATATTTTTGAATATTATGACTTGCTCATCAATGCTTATTTTTGCAACATCACAAATTTTATTACTTATTTAATTACAAGAAATGTGAATTTTTACTATTTCATACCATTGTCAGATTGCTCTGTTATTGTATGCATTGGTAAATAACGACCCTGAATCTTGCATACCATTCACTTTGTGATGTCTAAAATCTTGTTACTTTCTTAATTGTTTATGCGTGCTTGAATAGATAATAATTTCTTTTTTAACTTCTTCCACCTTATTTCTCTAACTAATGATATGTAGCATAGATCAATGTTGTTTACAAATTGACTGAAGTTGTCAAAATTTCTGTCAAAAGTTTACTTTTATTATTTTAAATTGTCCTAACAATTTTTAAGCTGTTTTTTTGAATATATATTGGACTCACACTATTTTGAACAGGAAGTTATTAAAAGTTCCCAGTTGAATCAATTTTCATTTTCCTTCAGTTATTACTATAACATGTATACTTTCCATAACTGGAATCATCATTTACTTGAATCACTTCTACGTTAATCCTTCACATAGAATAAGTAGGATCTCACAACATTCGTACATGCAAAATTAAAAATTAGAAAAGTCTTAACAATAATTCAGTTCAATCTCATTTGGGATTTCCTTATTTCGACGTCATTTATAGATTGTAAGTTCGAGGAAAAGCGGGTGAAATAGTATTACTATTTTAAATGCGTATTAACCCTACAGAAATGTATTGACTAGTTCAACGCCCTTTTTTTTACTTTAGTTTGCCTAGCAAAAACATTTGACGTTTTTTGGTTAATATGTTCAGTATGAGATTTGTAACAGTTTTGTTTTTGTGGGAATTCAATAATGAAAGTTACACACAATTTGTCTCTTTCCTTTTTGTTAAAACTGAGACAACTTTATGCTGTAGAAATATTTTCCTTCGAGTTCTGTGTGGTTTTTAGCAAGAACGTAAATGCCGGGGGCGTTGGGGGTGAAACGAAATTCATGATCAAAGGTACTTCAAATATCTAAGGCTGTTCTTAAATTAATTGGGTGTAAGCAGTGCGATTGCTAGCTTTTTCGCTCTAGGGAAGTGTTCAGGCCTCATTTGCCAACAAAGTGAGCGAGACGACCTTCAATTGCCGACAAATTGGAATATTCACCGAACAAGCACCAAAACAGTGCTACAAATCCACTTTTTTGAGATAAAACGTTCAAAATTTCATTTTACAGTAGCTCAACCTGAGCTTGTTCTTAATCTGTTCTTAACTTTTGACCAATTTCGAGGCTCATGTTCTTATAAAATTGTTCTTATAAGAAAAAGAGTGTGGTTGCTAAGTACCGAGCATTGTGAGGGTCAAATACCAGACGACGTTCTTGACTTCCCAAAATGCAGCATGCTATTTACTGTTTCTTGTTACTATTGCCAATAACGTTAATGCCAAATATGTAGTACCTTTGTCTCGTCTCATACAGGGTTATTTGAAGAACTTTGCCTTCAAATAATGATATCTATTTTTGATTGGCAATTTACTTTATTGGAGTAATAAGTTTGAAAAGATAGAATCCTTGTCTAAACAATTTTAAAACTCCAGGGTTGCTATAAGATTGAAGAATGTTAATAACTACGTATTAAAGAATTAGCCCGATGGATGTATCACTCAATGGAAAGGCGTACGAGATTTTTTCGGATTTAAAAATCCATCGATTTGGGGTCCGGATTTGCGGATTTTTTTAGATTTTTATCAAATTCTTCGGATTTTGCATATTTTTTGCCTTGACTTCTCCTTCCTTCAAAATTTTAAAGAAAAGTCATTTAGCTTCATTCATCATTCATTCTGATCATCGCCATATGTTAGTTGGCACATTGTATTGATTCAAGCAGTTCTGTGAAAAGAATTTATCAAAACATAAGTTATTTAGCCATGTCCTTTAGACTTCAAAACATAACTCAACGAAACAACCAAATCAAAGCATCACAACAATACAGGGTGGACAGGGTGTTAAAAACACTCAGCCAACTTTTTCGGGATTCTTCAGAAAATTATGGCATTTGAATTCATTTGACGCATACCATTTTAAAATACATTCTATCTTCATTACAACGATATCAAGTTTTGGCACTTTCATTAAATCATATATTACTCAATGGACCATTCAGCTATTCCACAAAAGAGTCTGGATCGAGTCATCTTTTTATACAATGGCTCGATTGAGTTGCGTTAAAGTTCTTAGAGCATATATCATTTTGTCATCCTATCATGCTTGAAAAGTTTCAACTGTCGTTTGGCTCCATTTTCCTTGGAAGCTCTTATCCTTTTATTGCCCTTTAATCACAAAAATTAAAGTCTTCTTCCTAACAACGACTTGGCGGGATAATCTCTCCTAAAGAGGCACTGTTCTCCAGACTCTCCAATATTACGTTGCGCATCTGCATTGCCGAGATAGATTTTTGCGAAATCAAGGGCTGGTGGCCCTTTTCACGTTTCTTTTTGTCAAGGAAGAAATTTTTGGTGCTCAAAAATAAAGGGACTGGAACAAGAACTCGTGTTGCCGAAGATGACTGTCAGCCAGCGAGGAATATGATGAGGAACGATAATAGCAACAACAACAAAGGAAAGTCTCCGTTTCACTGCTTCGAATCATCCAAATTATCATCCAGTTCATCTATCGAATCTCTCCATGTCTTTGATTGTTTCTTTAGATTTTAGTCCTAAATGTTCTTGCCCAAATGAGAATTTTCGGAGTGATACACTCCTCGGGTTAGCCTAGCAAGAAATTAGGCTTAAGGAGAAATTTTTTATCCAAACAGGAATGAAATACGCGTCCTTAACGTCGTCAAAAGTATTTTTATCTTTGGCAGTTCTATGGACTCACACTTTCAATAGCGAGTTCTCTCGTATAAGAAATGAAAGCCTCGGTAGACCTAAAGGATGACCTGAAGTGAACTGTCAAGTTTAGGAACCGCCTTTTATCTTGAATTGAGCAAAAGTAAATTTGAAATGAAAATATGTATTGTACTTCAACATACTCCAGCAATTCGTACATAGATAAGAGTCGGGTCAAATTTGATTATAATATAAACTTTGAGGTTTTTACAAAATTGATAGTAATAGGTTTTTGGGAAGCAAGTGATTTTCTCAGTTGAATTACAATAAATAATCAATTTTCTTTCTGAGTTCTTGATTGACGATTTTGCCGAAAACGAACGCAGCTTTGCAGGATGTGTTTGCCAGGTATTCTAGGGTCGCTTTTTTCCCAGACTTGCTTTTGTTTTTTGCCCTTGTTAATCATGCTAACATGTAGAATCATTTTGGCATAATGATATACGAGCTTCTTGGTTTGAATCATGGTTTGAATGAAAATAAGTTGACTGGAAAAGGGATAGAACTAAATCTCGAAGATCTCCTTGTTTTCTTTCAAGCTGAAATGATTTCGAAATACATTATGATCGTTTAACTTCTGCCACCGATTGAAACAGGAATGTCGGATCTTTAGGTATGTTACAAAAAGATGTACGAATTTAGAATCAGAAATATCGAAAAACAACAGATAAAGCTAATTTTTTTACGCTTATTTGTTAGTGTTACCAAATTTCAAATGAAGGAATAAAAATAAAATAAAGGAATAAAGACATGTCTTCATGGAGGAAACGTTTCTTGAAAGTAATGTCAATGCTCTCATTGTACCAAATATTTTCCTCCTAAAAATCCGAAACAAGATCAAACGTAGCCTTCTTGCAGATTCTAAACACCACCATTTAACTATGCGTACGAGAAACTGAATTACTCTGTTTGGATGAACTCTACTGACAAGCCACATCCTTCGCAGTGGCGTGGTGGCAGGAGAGCAGGACTTTCGATAGCCATAGTTCCCCTGTATATGGGTGCAATTGGAGATTATTGTCTTCTTGTAATATTTGGCTAGAAACATCAAAATCGTACACGGGTGGAACACTTCCCAGTAACTTGCTGTGAACAATCTAATAAAACGTGCGATTCTACAATCGAAGCATGTTGCATTGCCATGACCCAATCAACATTTGTGTCATATGTTGCTCCCTGTCGAGGAGGCGAATGGAATAAGAAAGCGGGAATAGGCTGTCAAGTTGTGGGTTTTGAATGAAGTGAATTGAAGTGAAGAAAAAGTACATTAAGTTGGGGGAACCGAAAATTAATCCCACCGAATTTGTTGGAAACCAAAATCTTTTGCTATCAAAAGTAGGCATGTTGACAACGCTGGAAGAAACTCGTTTTACGCCTATTGACTTGCAAACTAACAGAGTTAATATTTTTTATATTAAGATATCCAGATATCCAAATAAGATATCCAGCTCATCTTAACTATCTTCTCTTTCACCCTCTACATTCAAGAAATTTGAGTTCTCTATGGGCTGTGCTGGTGCTTCTTCGGTCTTTTCATAAATTCTCTTATTTATTTCTTTTTAACGTTCCAGTAATTTCAATTTCATCGCCTCGATGTTTAACTCTAAGTTGATCAGAATTTCTAATCCCCTCCTTGCGATAGGCAATCGAAACTATTTCCAAATGTAAACGCCTCCAGTTAATTTTGCTTCATAGGCTATATAAACTGAAAAAGACCTCCACAAAATAAGATTTTATGATTCTCTTCTACATTTTTGAGCTGACATCAAAACCTGAGTGTACGCAGAAGATCTTCGGGCCTAAGTACATGGAATGCACCCTGGCAATCAATACAAGAGCTTCTTATTATTTACATCGGTGTGCACTCTGAAGCAAAGGTCACCCTTTCTTTCTTTCCCAAACGCATGAATCCTCCCCTCCCAAATTTTTTCTAAAAATCAATAATCAATGTTTTTCTGAGAATCGTCGAATTGTCTATTCTGAGCGGTACAGTAATTTGTTAAATTTTAGTCTGGTAGATGCATTTTTAGCCATTCTAGAAGGCTTGATTTCAAAAATTTTCTTCCGTGTCCGACCCAACCATGGTGGGTCTTCCTACGTCACTAAACTTTATTCTTAGCACCGTTTCTGTCCGATATTCAATTTCATGGCGCCGTCTCTGTCCGATTCAATGATGCGATTAATATGCCAATTCGAAATTGCTGGATATTTTACCGAACAACGATCGAGAAGGTCAAATGTCAGGATAACATAATCTTTTCCATTTATACACACTCGCATTTTTAGTCAAAACTTAGCCATGAGATCTTATATAACCACGATATATAGATAGGGCACAAAAATCGACTTGGCCACCCCAAGGGAAACATAGCCACCCCACCACTTATCCGTCGTTTATTTGAGAAAAGACAATGCTATTGCCACCTCAAGGGAAACATAACCACCCCACCACTTATCCGTCGTTTATTTGAGAAAAGACAATGCTATTGTCATTATTAACCTCTGCCTTGATATAATAATTAGTATTTGATCTGATACAATCAGCAGTTTTCGTTATGATGATGATTATGGCGAAATGACGATGGCGTTATTTAGAATTTCATACCCGGCTATCAACTTTGTACTGGTTTATAACATTTAACATGTAAATAGAGATAAACACAGGTTGATACTAGATTTTTGATAAAACTAGCTTACTAATGCAATGGGAAAATCAGAACGGTCATCACTTCAGGTTTAGATGATTAGAGATATCGAAATCGATTGCATTTGGCAAAACGATGAAGTGATTAAGCAAAATCTTATTTATGACAATAGTCTTACTTCCATAGCAGATGCTATCAAAAGGAGAGCTGAAAGAAGCCAAGACTAAAAAAGTGTGCATCAAAGCTTGAAGTACTGATAAAATGTCTAATCAATCACACAGAGGCGTTCTCGATTCCTGAAAATAAGAGATTAGTAGTCTGCAACTTTATCTTAAGTTGTAGTCTAATGGTATGAAGTTCGTCTGCCTGA